CAACGGTGGGGATGGAATATGGGTCAGCAGTCATGACTTTCTGGACCAGCAATAAAGCAATGTTTGGCTCCATAGATTTTATACAACCAGCCCTTCCCAAGTATTTTTATGCAGGGTTACTCAACCGTGTTGCCAAATAATAGTTTATAATTATATCTGCGATTGCTTCTTAATGTGAGAATGCCGCAATCTGTGTGGGTCAGAGAAGTTTATTTAATAAACTGGAAGTTGAAGTGAGATGCACAATTTAGTCAAGATTTATTAAGTAAATGTTTAAATGAGTAAAAAAAAAATTGTTTCTTTGATACATTGGGAATTTTATTTTCAAATTAGGTGTTTTAACCCTGGTTTCGGAAATCAGCTGTCAGCTCACCAAAACTGACACTCCAAGCACCGTAACTACTACCTCACTGCAATACTTCCTGCCTCCACTATTTCTGATGAAGTACAGGAAACACCTAAGCAGGAGCTCTCTTGAGCGAAGGCCGCAGTGCACAGCTAGTTCGTGGCTGAGAATATCAGATGATCACTCTCAGGCCATAAAAATAAGCCCATTACCGCTGGACATAGCTCAGGCAGACATCTAATGTTTACACTTCCTTTATTGCACAGTCTGTTTACTTTAGAATTTCTAATCTCCTGCTTTGTTAATAGCTTGCTAGACCCTGCTGGAGCCTCCTGTGTGTGATTAAAGTTCAATTTACAGAGCAGGATATAAACTTCTAAAGTAAACACACTGTACTAATGGAAAATGAAATTTGTATGCAGTCTGTGTCAGTCACAGCCAAGGCAGGTGTGGCTAGGGCTGCATAAATACACTGAACAAAATTATAAATGCAACACTTGTTTTTGCCCCCATTTTTCATGAGCTGAACTTAAAGATCTAAGACTTTTTCTATGTACACAAAAGGCCTATTTCTCTCAAATATTGTTCAAAAATCTGTCTAAATCTGTTAGTGAGCAGTTCTCCTTTGCCGAGATAATCCATCCACCTTACAGGTGTGGCATATCAAGATGCTGATTAGACAGCATGATTATTGCACAGGTGTGCCTTAGGCTGGCCACAATAAAAGGCCACTGTAAAAAATGCAGTTTTACTATATTGGGGGGTGAGGGGTGGGAATACATCTTCTTCGCATAGAGTTGATCAGGGTGTTGATTGTGACCTGTGGAATGTTGGTCCACTCCTCTTCAATGGCTGCGCGAAGTTGCAGGGCCAGGAACACGCTGTCATATACGCCGACCTAGAGCATCCCAAACATGCTCAATGGGTTTTGAGAATTTTTCTAAATCAACAATTTTTGTCTACATGTTGAATTCAGTTTTCAATCCATCTACAGTTATTTGTTTAAGGAATAAGCCCCTCTGTCATGGTATCTCATGGTGCCTCTGCAGAATAGAACATTGTCACCTTAACGAGTGGAGCACTTACTGTTTGGGTAAACTTATGTTTGTCCGCCTCGGCCCATCTCCAGTGATGCTGATGTGTCAGATGCGTTGATGTCACAGGCTATCAAATCGAAGCACAATAGAATGGGGAGAAAAGTTAGTAGGAGCTAAGGGAAGTGAAGGAGCTGCAGGGCCGCTTTGCAAAATTAGATGGCAATGGCATCTCGGTGCTGTACAACCGATGCAACAGCTGTGACACACTGTGAGCTGTGATACAACTAGTGACACTAGACTTAGTACATACATAGTACTGATGTTTAGGTACATATCCTATGTGTAAACCAGCATTGCTGCCTCCTAGGAACATTCCAGTCGCCTTAACAACTTAATGGCATCAAAGTTGCTATGGTGTGAGTAGGTTTTGGCCCCAACTTACTTTAAGTAATTAAACAGTTAACAAACTCTGGAAGACAGCACTCGAACGCTCTGCCCCTACACTTCCTCTGAAAGTCCAATGCTTGAATCAGGAACCATGCACCATTCATAGGCTAAAGGGCTCAGCCTATCACTAGCTCCCCATTAAGAAAAGTGAGTGAAAAAGGTGCATTTAGAGTTAAATCATCCATTAATGGTTTAACTTCTTGTGGTAAGATAGTACTGAAAACCTCCTTGTACTATAACAACTTTATTGTGATGAAGTTGTTATGGTGACCAGAGTGGTCCTTTTAAAGCAATTTACCCCTACAGGTCTATTTAAGTTAATCCCATATTGGAGAACAAGCCTGAATAAAGGTAGTAAAGAATATTTTTAAGATAAATATGACATAATGTGACTATTGTGTATGTAAAGAGGAATGTATGAACTACTAATCTGAAGTATAAAAGTCACAAAATGAAAATATAATACACATGATAGTTAAACACAGAGCACACTGACACACACACAGAGGACACTGAAAATGCCAAGAAGGCAGAGTATTCCTCCCACAAGCTCTGTGGTTTGGAGCATTGCCGCTGGTTACCAGAATAGTGCCAGAGTTCGAATGAACAGGAATTTCGGCCTGCACCCTGCTGTGCAGGTCTTGAGACAACACCGGACCACAAGGCAGCGGTGTATTTACCGCAAGGCTGGCAAGGCATTTGCCTTGGGCGGCACGTTCAGGAGGGTGGAAAAAAAAGCAGCCCTCCAATCGCCCTGGCAAATGCCTTGCCAACCTCTTGTCCTGGGGGGCTCAGGAGCTGGCTGGGTGGCCACCTTTGGTCCCCCCTGAGGCTGGCATGAGCTGTTGTGGGAGGCGGGCAGTGAGGGAGCACTTTGAGCTCTTCCCTGCTCAGCTTCCTCGTGCGCACCGCAGTGATGCCGGAGCCGGAATATGACGTCACTCCGGCTCCAACATCACTAAGAGTTGCGCGCGGGAGCTGAACAGGAGGATCATTGCTCCCTCGCCGCCGCCACCACTATGAGCCTGCCAGCCCACCCTGCAGCAGCCCCACTGGACCCCAGGGAAGAAGCCACCAAAATGCAAGCAAATGATAAAAAAAAGTGTGTTAGTGTGTGTGTTTGTTTGTTAGTGTATCTGTTAGTGAGAGTGTGTGTGTGTCTGATAGTGAGAGTGTGTGTCTGTTAGTGAGAGTGTGTGTGTCTGTTAGTGAGTGTGTCAGTGAGAGTGTGTGTTAGTGTGTGTATCTGTTGGTGAGTGTGTTAGTGTGTGTGTGTCTGTTGGTGAGTGTTAGTATGTCTGTTAGTGAGAGTGTGTGTGTCTGTCAAAGATTGTGTGTCAGTGAGAGTGTGTATGCCTGTGAATGTGTAAGTCTCTCAGTGTGTGCATGCTTGTCTGTCACTGAGAGTGTGTATCTGTCAGTCAATGTGTGTGTCTGTTAGCGAATGCGTGTCTCTGACACTGAGTGTATATGTGTCTGTCAGTGAGTGTGTGTCAGTGATTTTGTGTGTGTCTGACACTGAGTGAGTGTGCGTCTGTCACTGAGTGTGTATGTGTATCTGTCAGTGAATGCATGTGTCAGTTAGCGTATCTGTCGGTGAGTGTGAGTGTCTGTTTGTCAGTGAGTGTGTATGTTTTAGTGAAAGTGTGTAAAACAGTGTGTGTGACAATGATTGTGTATCTGTCAGTGAGTGTATGTCAGTGTATGCATCAGTGAAGGCATTGTATCTGTTAGGCAAAAAGCATGTTGTTTTTTAACAGGAAGTGAAATTTACATGCCTAGGGCAGCACGTTATTGGCTATAGTGGTCAGCTGACACTCTAAGCCGATTAGTAGCTCCCCACTCATAAAAAAGGTGTGTATCTCCTGTTTATGCCAGTCCCCTAGCGTGTGTCTCCCCTGTATCTTCCCCAGTTGTATTGCACTCTGGCATTGCAGGGTTCAGGGAACAGGGACACTGGCACTAGACCACTTCAGTGAGATGAAGTGGTCTGGGTGCCTATAGTGTCTCTTTAACCATGACTATATTATTTTGCCTTCTATATATTTTTGGTTGTTTATGGATAAACAGACAGTCCTCACTTACCGACCGGATTCCGTTCTTACGACTCGGCCGTAAAAAACAAATTGGTCGGTAAGTGAGGATGCGCTAGTGAGCATGTGCTAAAAAAAGCAGGTCTATGCTTGGGGGAATTCACCCTAACATAGACCAGTTCAATAGTGCAGGGTATCTCTAAAATTTACGATGGGGGAAAATTCCCCGAACATAGACCAGCTCTCTTAAGTGGGGAATCCCTTGAATCCCTACGCTAGATAGATGGTCGTAAGTCCGAGCAGTTGTAAAGCAGGTAGGACGCAAAGTGAGGACTACCTGTATATGATGCATTATTTACGCAATGTCAGTTCCAGCCTAGTGTGCCCCTTTTTCAGTTTCAGACCCATTCTAAGCAGCACACCGTGCTCACTGGGATAGTAGCCTGGTGTTGTCTTGGCAGTTATCATTACCTTGTTTCTATATTATGAGAAGGATTTATATTGATGAAAGTATATTATGCGTTTCCTTGTTTTAGACAGGGGGCGTCACAGTGGCAGATGACAGTCAGATTCCATCTGTGAATAAACTGTAATAAATTTAAAAACAAACAAAAATAGCAAAACATAAAACCCCATTATTTCACCACGATACGCATAACAACTATGTAAAATCCATGACGACAAAACTAATTTTAAAAAAAGCAACTTGTTCAAATAAAATACCCTTTCACTACACACGCACTGGAATAAATACCTTTCATTTTTTTTTTTTTAAATGTACGAGTTAAAATTTAAGTAACATTCTGTTTTTTCCCAACCTTTTTTTTTTTTTCCACTTGTCGTTTTTATAATCTGAACAATTTTACCCTCTAGGCTGGAAAAAAGAAAAAGAAAAAAAAAAGAAAGAACGTGAGAGAGAGAGAGAGAGAGAAAAGAGAGGGAATAAAAAAAGTTTATGGCTCATTAAAAGATGATTAACATCTCTACGGAGAAGGGCTGATATACTTATCAATCCTTCTTTAATAGGTCTGTTGAAAAAAAAGAGGTTTGACAGATGAGTAAAGCACGGCCCCTCCCTCTCCTGCAAGTTGAGTTACTTAGGGCTGTTGCTGCAACGAAGTATATATTTGGTGAAGTGAAGCAGTCTGGAGACTAGCTGCCAACTTGCAGTTGAGGAGACAGAATAAGAAACATTGGAACAAAAAATATGGTCATCTGTCTTAACAATAGCTGAAATGCAGCACTTGATACAGAATTAACAAAGGGAATTTCTAAGTGGATTTACGGGACTTTTCTTAATTTTTAATTTTTTTATTTTACTAATGTTTTCTTTTCGGTCACAGCTGTGATAAAAACTGTTCTTATTTTCTTTCTTCGTGTTTTTTTGTTTTGTTTGTTTAAATTTTCCAACCTTCTGTCTAAATCAAAGGACTGATCTGCCCTCCGTGGCGGAAAGTGTACGTACAAAACTTATAAAAATATAAGCCTCCCGTATGTTATTTTTGAAGGGAGATGTGATCTCTTTGCTCATTTCGTTTGAAATTTAAATATTGATCGGCACATCTGGAACATGGATCAGCTATCAATAACAAGTGGATTCCCATTTTTTTCTTAAAACGCAAAATATTCTTCATACGTGCTCCTTACGGATGGTCCTAGACTAAAACTAAAACGGTAAAAGAAGTCTCAGGACCTGGATACAGATAGGTCGCCAACAAATTAAAAAAAAAAAAAAATGATAGTTTGCACTGGACACCAATAGAATGGAAGTGTCACATTATACAGTTCATGGGTTGAAGTTTTATTGATCATCGTAAGTAAACGTTATATATCCCTATGGGTTCCTGGACTGGAAGGTGTGGATTAATAAGCTGCTTTGATACTTCAAGTCTAAAGGATTCATAGATGACTGAGTTTTAATTACACTGGTTGGACTTTCGAGGAAGTCAATAGGAGAACATTTGTTTTCAACCTGTCTTGTTAAGTGTAAGAAGACCTGGCGGGATTAAGTAGATTTATGTTATATTCTTGACCCCTTGGTCTTGACAAGCCCTTATCTACACTGAAGGATCACTTTCCACTTGCTTAATCCTTCTCAGCATCTTCTAGAGGTACTTGGAGCTTTCTTCAGTATAGCTTTTAAAACACTAAAGGATAGATTCCCCAGAACATGATGAAGTGTTGGATATCGCTCCTCGTGGCCACAGTTCTGTGCCAGCAACTTACTGTCTTCAGAGTATTGGCAAATAAGAAAGAACGCAAGAAGGCAAAAGAGGCTCATCAGTTCACTGAACCCTTTAATGTCACTTTATCCAACAGCGAAGAGTTTGATGAACTTGAAAAGGTATGTGAGTTATCCCCTCCACTTCCCCTCCCATTCACTCACTCCACAGTTTCTTTTAAGACAAAAAAGGATTTGCTCTATCCGAATCTCTAGCTGCTATAAACTACAACTCCCATCATCCACCAGTCAGTCACACTGGGAATTACAGTTCAAAGCAGTTCCAGTAGCAGGTGTTGATAATTAATGCTCTGCCCAAAATACTGTTAAAGACTAAGTACCACAGTCACAGAACAGCTAGCTTCCTACTTTCAATACTCTGTTCTGTCTTTTATTAAATCACACTACTATATTTTCATAACGCATATAATTTACCTATTAGATTGTCTCTGACTTCTCTGATTCTAAAAAAAACCCTACAAAGTAATGTGTATTAATATCAATATTAAACATACACAGGTGACATCAGCATTGACAACTAGAGAGCTCATTCGTCAGAAGGGCAGAAACTATTTACTGAGAAAATGATGTGATACAAAAATAGTGAGCCCTCAGTAAGTTGATCATATTAAATATATAGCTGAGAAAACACCTATGACCAAAACAATAAAGTTATGAAGTTTTCACAGAAGAATAAATTGATTTATTATTACTATTGATAAACATCTGTTAATGTGTATCTCTAAAGGGTTAACTTAACCTTAGGAGGAAAGTAATTTTAAGAAAGATGATGTTGAAAAAAAGCAGGCATGATTTGAATATAGTTTGAAATTGGAGTAGTGTACAATATACGTATTCACAGAAGGAGTGGTTGATACTTGGCACAGCCGCCAGTAGAGGTGGTAGATGATAAAATGTAAATACATGCCTGGTGTGTGCATAAAGCTTTCATGGATTTTGAGATTCCATAATGGGCAGGGTAAATGGGACAATTGGTTTGCTGCCATCGCAATCTGTGTAAGACTGAGTATGCGTACACAGTGCCTTGTCAGAAGGATATCCAAAGAATAGAATGGATTGTATAGCTGAGGGGCTAAACATAGGAAACAAAAATCTCATGTGAAGAGCTTAACTAACAAAGGAAAGGTATTAGAACGGAGAAAGATAGGCTTGATGCATAGGCAGCTCAACATACTGGTCTGAGCTACAGTATAGTCTGACTGAGTGCAATGGGAGTTGTAATCCTATATACAATTGTACAACTGCGTTTGCCACCCCAGTAAGACATAATAATATTTCAATAAACTGGGATCTGTAGTTGTTGATCCAAAAAACTTGCAAAATAGATAAACAGCTTCAATTAATTGATAATTAAATATGATTATTTTCAAAGCGTCAACAGATTCCGCGGCGCTGTACAATGGATCTTTGTTTAATGCATTTTGAGCTCTAGTGCATTTTAGCACATCCATGCTACAGGGATCATGGGACTTCGAATGTAGCAAGAAACAACAATTCTTAATTCATCCACAGGTGAGAGTTTATACCTTCTGGGCTCACCCTTAGCCCATTCTCACACAGGAAAGACAAGCTGGATGAGACTCACAACCTTATCTGCAAGGAAACTTTTTCGTGGCATTGAAGAATAGAAAATCACAATGTTTCAATGAGACATTTTAATTTTTGTATGCTTCAATAATGTTTCCTTGGGGATAACGTGGTAAGACAAACAAGTAGCAAGAGAGGTGAGAACGCACAACAGCTCAATTAGCCTGCCCATCGGTGGGTCCCCGCTCAGATATCAAGCTGGTTTTAGCTCATCTTGTGCCATCACAGAGAGAACATATCTGAAGCATATCAGACTGGTCCCACCCGTACAGGCAGTCCAGATCCGAAATGCCAGCAAGTTCCCTTTGCACGAGAGACACAGCAACCACAGACTATCGTTTCAAACTTGTAACGTATCATCAGTGAGGTATAGCCGATATCCCTCGAGGCACCGTGAGCAAGGGGTCTACGTCTGGTGGTGGTGAGACTCGTTCAATTTGTCTTTGTTGTGTGTGAATGGGCTAAGGGTGAACCCAGAAGGTGTGATCACGCACCTGTGAAGGAATTTTAATATATTGGGAACCTATTTAATAACCTGTGAATAGTGAACAACACAGGTATTAGGTTTGAAGACACTTGTTACTGTTATTAACATGTGATAATACATGGTAAGTCAAAACACAGTAAATTTAGGACTTACAAAAGTAATTCTATTTTTTGACTACCTGCCCTCATCTATTGTATGCACTGGTTGCCTGCAGAGTTTCAATTTGATGACTGTGTAAGCATCTTTCAATAAAAAAAAGAGATTTAATCACCTTACGTTTAGTTTACTGTAATAATCCAATCCCAGTACTATCCTCAAGGCATCTCGCAGTGACATATTTTGTTGGCATGAAATACACTGTCATCAGTGAGAGACAAGTTAAATCCTGAGTCAGACAAGTTCTATATAAAAGAGTCAGGCTTCTGTAAACATGTCATTGCTCACTACACTTGGATGCCCATGTTTCCTAAGCAGCATAATTCCTTAGCAAGTGAATAAAAGGGTCATTATACTGTGCGGGGAGTATAACAGCCTTCCAGTGTAGACAGAGAGTTTGTTCAAATGAGACCCAGTTCAAGACAGTGACGTGCAATAGTGCAATGTAGGACTGGACATAGTTTTGGGGTCACTCTTTGATAAAGCGGTATCTAATTATGAAAATATACTACCACAATATCCGTTATCACCTGCTAGAGTTTACATTGTAGGCTAAGATGGTACAAAACAACTGATTTAGAAATAGGGTTGTCATACTGATCCCCTTAGATGTTGATTGACAATAAATCCGATTCTCTTCTGCAAGCCTATAGCATGACAAAGAATTATGGGAGATGTAGTTTTATAATCTATAGGGGGAGGGGGGAGGGTGATGTTCCAACAGCCCATTATTAGTAAAAGAAAGACTGTTATTTTATAAAACTAAAGTTGGTGAGGATGTGGAGATTACAGTGAAGCGTTGATAGATGCACATCACATTGCAGGTGGACACATGTAAGTTCTATTTTGAGGGCTACATTGAAATTGTTCTGTAGAATTTTATTTTTAATAAGCCTATCACGTGAAGGCAAATCTGGCCATCATAACCAAACTTCTCACTATGAATGTAAACTTGTCAATGACGTTCATTCGCCTTTTTCTGGATCAGTGGTTCTCAAACAAATGCTCATGGCCCACCAACAGTCAAGGATTTATGTATCTCCCCCCCCCATATTATATATTCCAATACACCTGGACTGTTGTTGGTTCTTGATGACTGGTTTGGGAAACACTATTCTAGATTATTCCAATGGACTTTGTCCCTTCTATTAATGAATGTAACTGATGGTTGATTACAGTTTTGTCTACCCCTTGGTATGTTTGCTGTGGTTGAATACAGTATGCTTTCCAGAAAAACTAGTGCACCAAATCTAGACTGACAGCTACTACCTTTCATTACTCCAAAACAAACCCTAGATGGATACGTGGTCCACGGTTTTACAAAAAGAGCATGGCCAAAATTAGAACAATATTTTCCTGTCACTTTACAGCCCAGAAAGAAAGGCCAAATTCCTTTGATAAAGGATCTTCCATGAGCCCAAACATTGCTTATATGACAAAAAAAATTACCCTTCTTTTAACGCTGCCCAGTTCCCAGCTCTGCTCATGTATTAATATGGAATGTGGTCCCTGTTTTTAGCTACATCTCAGAAGTCTTAGAATAGAACTCTGGCACATGCATAATTTTCAGACTTGCGCTCTTCAATGGCTTTAAATATACACATCAAGGTACTTCTTGTAACTTACCTTGGGTCAACCAGATGCTGCCAGAATGCAATTTAGAAAAATTTGGACACACAGACTGTCACGACCACGCTTACCTGGGGGTCCCCCGCCGCATCTCCGTCCTCTCCTGTGGCAGTTCCCCCTCACTGCACGCCGAGGACTCTGACGTGTCCGAGTGCAAAGACAGACAGCCGGCATCTCTGTGACTCGTGGACGTGGTGCGGTGGTTCCCCGCACCACAGGAAGCTCCAGCCGATCCCACGTGTAAACTCCACATACTCTAGGCGCGCACCAGACAGTTTGCCTCTTAAAGGGATAGAACACCTGAAACAGCTTAAAGGGCTAATCACTGTTTAACCAATGGTATGTGAGAGGTGGATACCTCTCCCCTATATAAACCCAGTTAACCTCTACCTCAGTGCTCAGTTATACTATGCTCTTCTGTATATACACTTCTGTGAATCCTGCTTCATCCAGCCCTTGACCTATCTGCCTGTTATACCATTCCTGAACCTGCGCTGCCTGCCCTCGACCTTGGCTTACCCTGTCTACGAGATTGTCTTGTCCCTAATTGGTACCTCACTTTTGGCTCACTACTGCCTCCTGGGCCCCACCTGTTGACCCTACACAGACAGAATAACTAGAATTATCAAGATTTACATGTAGCAGTACTAAAGCAAGTATATGTTTAGAATCTATAAAAAAAAATCCATATTTCAGGGCTGTTTTGGTTAGAACGCAGCCCTAAATTATGTATTTTTGTTCCTTGCATAGTAAAGGAGAGTCCTGGTTTACTCTATTAAAGATTTACCTCTGTTTTTTTTTTTTCTCGTTCCTAGTCTCACACTTGCAGAGTTGTAAATAGGGTGGAGAATCAATTCTTGTCATCAGCTGATGTTATCTCAGTCTCAATCTATGTTTGTAGCCAGCAGCCAGTTATTTCCCTTCACTAAGCAGCAGGAATAATCTCTTACAAATCAAACAGTTGGAAAACAGTCATAACTCAGCAAACCATACGAAATCGCGAATGCTTTCACAATCCAACAATCAATTTGTATTCAGCTTTTTTTTTCCTGCCACAAAATTAATATTTGCAGTGGCCAAAGGGTGGCCTGAGGAGAACCAAAAATAATATTTCTGGATTTTTTGTATATTTCAATTGCAGTAGCGTACAAAATAGATGTCATGGTAGACACTGAATGGTGTGCAGTGTGTTAAAAATTTGTCAAAGACATAAACTGTCTTTTTACAAAGAAACTACACTGAGGAGTTGACCCACACATTTTGTGATGTGTTAAAAAACAGAAACATAAAATATAAAAGTTCCTCTTCTACGTATTTTGATCAGTGGAGTCTTATGGAATATGGAATTCATTATATGTTGCTGTTTCATTCATGAAAAGACATGAATGAAATGACTGCACGAGCTAATGGAAGCTAATGGAAAACCGTTTCTAACAACTTAATGAATGGTTTCATCCATGGGCTTTGTGAAAGGGACACAATAGGCACTATAGCAATTTAATCTAATTTAAAAAGTTATAGTGCTTGAAATATCCTGTCATTGTCCCTCCATTCAGTGTTAAACCATTTTTGAGCAGTTTCACACTAAATAAATGTCACTGGCCACCCACAGCCCAGTCCCCACTGCGGGTACTGCTAGGGCAGTGATTACACACCTCCTTCTAGCAATACCAATACATTCCATCAATAGGTGGGGTGATAGGCGACTCCAGATACTCTAACTACTTCATTGAGGTGAACCAGTTATAGTGCCTACAGTCTTCTTAACTGTCAGTGGTAACTGGTGAAGTGCGCAATGCCATTGGGCAGGGATGCCACTTATTGGTTGGGAACAGTCATCTGATGCTCTCAGCCAATTACTGACTTCCCATTCACAAAACCCTCAACCAATCAGTGGCGCCCCTGCCCGGCAGCCCTCACCGCTTCCTAGATCTCAAAATTCAGGAGCCCGAGCCACAGGGGAGGAGTGGAGCCCAGCGCTTTGAGGTTTAACCCCTTGAGGTAAGAGTGCCTCAAGAGGCCTCTGGCACCATAACAACTTCACTGGGATGAGATATTTTGGTGCCCAGAGTGTTCTTTTACATTTTATTTAACAGAAAGTGATCTGGTCAATAAATCCAAGGTTTATTAACTTAATCATTAATTGTGTTTCCTTATTTGCATTTATTTATGTTTTTTTAGTTATCTGTTTCAGAGATAGAAGTTTCTTAAGCTTTCTCTGTTCACAGGTCCTAAAAAAGTCTATGTACGTGTGGAACCCCATTTTATTGTGTATTTATACATTGAGGCAGGTTTCATTGGGTTGATTGGTCACTCCACAAAAATGACATACTGGTTCCATATTGTAACTTGTCATAAATTGAGTTTACAGATTATAATTAAAGAATTAAAATCTTAATGTGCCAATTTATGATCCCATAAATTACTCCACATAACGGAGTACCAGGGTGAATGATTGGGTGCTTGCCAGTATTTTTTTTATCAGTATATGGGCAGCCTGCAAATCAAAGCCTGATATTCATTCTGTGGGGTAATTTGTTAACGTTAGCAATCAATAAAGAATTCTCAACAATCTCAACTAATTAGGTATTCTAAACTCTTTCCTTTTTGTTTTGACTGTAGTAAAGTGACTGTAGACAAATGAAATGTACTACAAAGTGCTAGAAAGATAAGATTAAGGTAATTTCAGCCAAATGGAAAATGAAGTACCAAAAATATAACATAGAATTTAAAGTGAACCTGTCATTCACAAAATCGGTATAGTCACAGAAGTTGGCATGTAAAGCCAGTGGCGTCACTAGGGTTGGTGTCACCCGGCGCGGTAACTCACAGTGTCACCCCAGCCCCCTTAATAAAGTGTTTTTTGGTGTTTTTTTTTTTTTTTTTAGTAAAGTAACTTGTAAATCATAACTCCCATATAACACTAAATGTAATGGCAATAGTGACATTAACAACTAAGAAAATTAAAATTACCTTTAAATTACAATATCATATGAAAATAATAGAATTTGAGCTATGGGCAGAGCGGCATGATGCATCCAATCCAGAGGTGACACCATCGCTGGACTCATCCTTGTCCCTGCCCCCCTTCACCAGTCCCCTGCCCACCTTCACCAGTCCCCTGCCTCCTTTATCAGTCCCTTGCCACCTTCACCAATTCCCAGCCCCCCTTAACCAATTCCAGCCCACCTTAACCAATTCCAAGCCCCCCTTCACCAGTCCCCCGCCCCTTCACAAGTCCCATGCCCCCCTTCATCAAATCCCCAGTCCCCCTTCACCAGTCTTCTGCCTCCTTCACCAGTCCCCTGTCACCCTTCACCAATCCCCAGCCCCCCTTCAATAAAACACAATCTATTTAGTAAAAAAAAAAAGAAAAAAAAGTAATAAAAACAAGCACTCACATTAAAGGCTGCTGCCCCTGGATCCAGCCTTCAGTTTCCCACGCCACCGAGTCGCAGACTGAAGAGCACCGGCCGCTGCCCTCACACACACTGAGCCGATTCTTCCACGGCTCCCTGAGAAGGCAGAGCACGTCGATGTCGTGGCCCCACGCTGCCCCCACCTCCACGCACCGGACCTCTGCATCACCCCTGTGGATACCTGACCACAGTTCTCCCCTCACCATTCGCAAGTCAAGTACACAGCATCACTACGCACTTGACTTGCTCTGCACTGCAGAGACATAATTCAAGTCTGTGAGTGACCGACTGCGAGCTGTGTCGGCCGCCCGGCACCCCTGTTGCCATGGTGCCCTGTGCAGCCGCACAGCTCGCACACCCCAAAGGCCGGCCCTGGTGTCATCCGCCCCCGTGATGCACATCCTGGTGCGGTCCGCACAACCCGCACCACTCTTGTGACGCCACTGTGTAAATCCAATGTAATATTTATGATTGTGCATAAAGTTTAGTAGAACACTTCAACTGGGGATCATTCTCTTGTATGAACTTAGGTCACATGGATAGAAAAACAGGGGCGATGAGGTAAAGGGGGCTGTAGTGGGTGCAGGGGATAATAGGGTTATAGTGAAAATAGGGGGCAATAGGTGCTGTAGTGAGTGCAGATCCTACTTCTTCCTTATGTTTGTTCACTCTCCATTCTCTCCAGCAGCATGCCATTGTAGCTGTCAAAGAGCTCTTTCAATCTCCAGGCAGCACTGCCCCTCACCACATCTGACACATGTCGTGGGAGCCGTCTGGTGTGTATAGAGAGGAAGAAATGTGATGTCACTCCGCTCTCTCTCATTGCACACACAGTGCCCCCTCTTGGAGACCGAGAAAGAGACATGGCAGGGAGAACACAAGGTGCCAGGGTGCCATGGGGGGTAACTCATTATCTTTGTGAAGCAATTGCCCCTCTGTAGCGACGCCTATGCCTCTAATTATTTTTAATTACTTCAGGATCTATTTTTGATGAGGACATTCCGTCACTCATTACTGAGGAATTATAGAGCTTATTAAGGAAAACGAGGAACTCTAAAAAACGTAATTACCAAGATACAAAAGAAAGCAATATCAATTCAAAGCATAACTTATTTTATCATTTTAAATGTATGTATTTGTATATATTTAAACTTATTAGATTTTTGTGGTGTGGTCATGTTGGTAGTCGATAACATTTACCTTTAATGAATGCACTATTAAAGTAGATCTTGATAAACATTTCAACAACTATTGTAATCAGTAGACAGGGAGAATTAACAAGCGTAGAAATTCTGTGACACTTTTCTTCCTCATAAACAAAAAAAAATGGCCTTAAAAAATACAGAAATGTTTCAAGAGGTTGATTTTTTTTATACCTGAAGCTGGTGATGATTTCTGCAAAACTCTTGGACCTTGCCAAGTATGCTTAAACTGATACCGAAGTCTCAGTGGAGGCAGCTATTATCTCGTATCAGCCACACTGGTCTGCTCCTCGTTCTAGATTTAGGAATGAGCGATTGTCAGCAGTGTCAGTGATTCTGTCTGGCAACTGTCTACAGCCAGTTCCTGGTGTAACAGTCAGGGAGAGCTCAGGATTGTCAGCAATGAATTCCTTATAAGCAATATAATTGGCAAAAAACTAAACAAATTACACACTTTTATTTTTTAACTTTTTTTTCTCTTTAGTGTTTGTTTTCGGCTGGCCAAGAATATCCACAAACTGCCAACCACATCATGTTCTTGAGTGTTTACTGATTGGATTCATGTGCTTCAAGTGTATGTGCCACTGGGTTGAGATGGTGGTAGATGTGATGGTGGTAGTAGGATGTTATCAGTTTTAAAGGGACATCTTAAAGTGGATCTGTCACTTTTGAGGGTCTTTTTTTCATATATTGCAAATATAGTGACAAATCCTGCGTGGGTCCAGTGGCCACAGGGTGCAGGGGAAGGGAAGTTTTATTTATCTCAAGCTGACCATCACAGCTGCCGCCATCTTTGTCATGCACATCTTCTTAAACTGCCGGCACATGTTACCAGGAGCCTCATCAGTGCTGCACTCACTCCATAGATTGATGCCTGAATCCTACAGTCATATACTTGTGACGGCTGGTGGGATTGCACAATAGGTAGCGGCAGAGCTCTGCCTTTTGTCAACTTTTGTCAACCTCAGGCTTGTCAATAAGACAAAGTAGCCCCTACTTTGTCTTGTGGTATTTTTGGAATGCATTGGAATTTAAGTGAAATGCCTTGATCTGTATTTAATAGAGAATATATCTGATTACTTACTTTAGACAATTATTTGTAGCTTTCTAAGTGCATACTCATGAGCCCTTATAAGACTGAATTTTATAAAAAGCTGAACAACCAGATTGCACGAATGCCGGTTCACCTTTCACTCTTCGTATAGGGTTGGTGAATAGACCAAGCTTGGCCAAGTGTCTGTATGGTTTCTGGGCCCTAGGAGGCCACCTTAGGTCACTTTATGGTTCTTCTAACTTGTCAGGACATTATTTACTCTGGACATGCAAATGTTAGTAACCAGCACTTACCTGCAAAATACTTTATTTCTTGCCAATGGCCCCCCTGAATCGGAACAAAAACCAAAGATTCAAAGATGCAACTAGTAAGACAGTCCATCCCTCCTTAATGTGAATTCATGTTCCCCATATATGAGCTTATATTAAAGGGAATTTATATTCAAAGTATGAAATATCCTTAGACAAGCACCTGGATTTAAGCATAAGCTTATACTTACTTAAAAGAAAACCACAAATTGTAAGGCTACAATCTTATCAATTAATTAAAAGGAGTCTGCTTTAGTCTATCTAACCATGCAAATTTGCCCCTTCACCCTGACACAGGAGGGAAATCCCTAAGACTCAAAGTTGCCAGATATAATTACAGCTTAAAGGTGTAACTAGTGTTGCAGTAAGTGGATTAACTTCATGGTACTAAAAACCTCAATATCTGCAAGGACAGTGGGTTGATGGATATCACAGGGTTAGAATCTGGATTCTTGGGTGATAGTTTCATATGTACGTGAAATATATATTACAAGCAACAGGGGCAAATAGAAATTGTATAAAATACCTGAAATAAGTCTGTACAATTCTTTGAGGCTCCAGGGAAACGTAGAATAAAAAGTAAATATAGTATGGCTATCTGTTTCATTATATTTCAATGTATTTAATTTATCTTACAAATACTTTTAATTCAACCATAAACTGTTCTTTGTGATAAATAAGCTTTAGATAAAAAGCTTTTTTTTCTGTTTAGTGTATTTCATGCAATGCATGAAAGATATGTTTTACAGCTCATTTATTATATTATATTAAGTCCACAATGCATAGCTAGCATATTAAATATGGACAAAACAAAAAATGACTGCATGTATTAATTGTTTGAGGACAACAAATATTGTAACTTAATTACCTACACAGAAAAATTAATTGTTATATATATATTTGTACAGATATTGGCGTTTAATACGTTTATAGTGATGCCACGATATCTCTTGCCTCAAAAACCTTCTGAATCACTTGCTGAAAAGTCAATTATCACTTTTCGAACATGCATTTATTATTTGTGAGAATCTAGATTTAAAAAAATATACTGAAACACCCTACTCATGTATATTTAAGGAAAAATATGGAGTCTATATTTAAGAATATGGATTCTTAAACTAGCAGCAGTTTAGAAATGTCAGTGAGAATGGCCTGTTCGTGACTATAATTCTACATAGAGTTCACACCGTTTCTGTATTAAAGGAGAGCTATCTCTGTCTTGTGTCCCATCCCATCACTGTATTTGATCGCTCCATACAGTGAATTTTCAAGGCCTTTGTATAGTAAAACGGAAAGGTGTAGGTTGCAATGTGACTTACAGTTTCTCTGCGCTGCTGCGCATGCCGCATGAACTGGGCGGCACCAGACGAAAAACATTTAGGAGCAACTCATTTACATTTTTTAGACTATTGATATTTTTTCCTTTGGGTTTATATTTATTTTTTAATTGAATCAACACCATGTATACATAAGGTTAAGGTTGAGCATCAGTCACCTGTGTGTGTAAAGGAATAGAAGGAAATGAACTAAGGGCAATTATCCTTTTAAAGTGACACACCATGCTGAGGTTGACTCTTCTTTTTAATAAAATTCATGTAATGTGGTAAAAAATGTGCAAAGATAAAAACAAAAAAAACAAAAAAACACAAGCTAAACTGCAAATGTTTAGGCTCTCTCAAAAGTATTTTTTCACTTGGTAGCAACTAAAATGTTTTTCAGCAAATCAGTGCACTCCATACAAACATATAGTTGTGACAGTGAGCATGCAGGTGATGGACGCCACATGCATGCTAACAGTGCTCTTGTAGCACTTAAACTCAAAGTACACTACTAGCCAGGCCTAAAAAAATTATCTTCAGAGCAAGGCAGGAGGGTCAATAGAACACTCACCACAGTAAAGTCCTAGTTACTAGGGATTCATTTTCAATTGCTAATGGCTAGGGGGCAAGTGGAAATTTAGAACCTTGGTGTTTCACCTACAGAACAGCTTGCATATTAAACCATATAAATTGTCAAAGTGCTCAGAGTATAAAATTCTCAATGGTGAAGCAATTAAGGGTGCATTGAAAATCTTACCACCCAGGCTTGATATCTAGAGGACAGGATTTAGATATTTGTGAGATACCCCTAGACACTGACTAAGTCACTCTCTTCCTTGTTCTCCTGTTCTTATCTAAATTACTTGGGGAAGCACATGCAAAGGATCCCCCATGCCTTCAGCCCACCACACTCCCTGGCTCAAGAGGACAGGTGTGTTGGTATGAAGTCCAAAGGCAGATTTTATTGGACATGATACAATGTTTCAGCTCTAAAAGTGCCTTTATCAAGCTTAATTAAGGGTCTTTAAGAGCCAGACCATTGTTTGTGTCCAATACAATCTGCCCATTGCCCAGTCCTGTCTCTTGTTTTAGTAATACCACTATATATGACAATGGCTGAGGGTGCATTTTGACACATTTTATATGAATATCAAAATGAAAAAGTAAGGATTTGTCCACTATAGTCCCTAGTGTATGCTTTAAATCCATTGTCTTGCATTGACTTATATGCACTTCAATAGTTTTGTTACAAGCTAGTAGATGCAGGATCATTCAACATAGATCCAGCAGTAATCCCACTAAATAACTCACTGACAATCTTCATTTCTGATATTAAGGCAGGGTGTGCAAGATTGACTCACTTCCATCAATAGTGTTGTGACCAAAACTGCAATTTGAAATGCACTTTAGAATGCATGTGGCCTGCTCAAAAACCTGTTACACAGCAATACTCTTAGTAGACGTTATAGCTCTCCTTTAAGAATAGAATAGGACATCTAAATTATAACAAATACGAGTCTTACACTTGGTGGCAGGATAATGATTCTGTTTGAGAAAAATAGGTTAAAAGGTTACATTGCGCCTCTGGGTATGAAGGAAAGCATGTCACGGGAATTCTTGTATATAGATCTATTTTTTTTAATTTAGGTGTCACTAGGGATTATTCTGACGTGAGGTTCCTAACAAGTGCCAAACAGTGTTTTACAGAAGAAAAAGCCTTTTCAGAGATTTCCAGGAGAAAATCCCAGAGAAGTGTAAGGGGTGAAGCAAGAATCAAGTAAGGATTAAAAAGTTACAAGATGTGATATAGTTTGGTGAGAGAAATAGTTTGTAAATATATAAAATATTTAATATCAAATCAAATTAACTTTCCCCATTCGGCAGGATTCTTGGCAATTACAAAAATAAAGACACCAACTCTTCGGTTTGACATGTTAAATGACCTCAGGACTGAGAGTTGTTTGATCTGGAACCCCAGGGGGGTGAATGAGAGTTGTGTGATAGACAAATAGCTAGAATGAAATGGATGGTAGGGCCGATAATGCAGAAAGACCCAACCAAGCGAGTATTTCATAAGCCTTCACCAGCAGCAAAGCAATTGATTATGGATGGGATTTTTTTTCTTCCTAAACTATTCTCGACTGGTGGTAACAAACTTGCTTTCCGTAGAACTGACTGACACGCAGTAGAAACTTCAGACTGAATTCCTTTCAAAGTAATCTCACAAATATTTTGTAAAATGCCATATGCAATCATTATGTTCTCCATCATTTAAAGTTACCTATTTCTGGTCACAGAGTTAAGAATACTCATGTTACAGTATATGTAGAGAGAATTATGGGGAGGCATGTGCAAAAGGCACCCCCACCATGCCTTCAGCCCACCACACTCCCCGGCTCAAGAGGACAAAATAAGGTTATACTGGTTGCTAGTATGAGGTCCAAAGGCAGATCTTATTGGACAGGATATTTTTCAGCTCTAAAAGGGCCTTTATCAACCTTAATTAAGGCTCTTTGTGAGCCAAAACATTGTTAGTGTCCAGTAAAATCTGCCTTTGGACTTCATACCAGTGCTCAGTCCTATCTCTTGTCCTATTGATACCATGATATATGGCAGTGACTGAGTGTGCATGTTGGCACATGTTTTTGAATGTCAAAATGTAAGGATTTATCCACTATAGTCCATAGTGGAATCAGTGGCGTACATACCAGGGTCGCAGGGGTCGCGACTGCGACTGGGCCCGGCCCACAAGGGGGCCCAGCCGCCCCTGCGACCCGGTATGCACCCACAGGGCCAGCCTCTTCTCCTGGGGGGCCCAGGAGGCGGCCACCTCAGAGCCCCCCCGAGGCTGGCCCTGCTGACACCCGGCGGGCGGGCTGTCTGGGTGGACGGCGCGCGAGGGAGCACTTTCCCCTGAGTGCTTCCTCTTCAGCTCCCTCGCGCACCGCACTGATACCGGAGCCGGAAGATGACGTCATCTTCTGACGCCGGCATCCCTATGCGGCGTGCGAGGGAGCTGAAGAGGAAGCACTCACGCGACGGCCACCCAGACAGCCCGCTCGCCCGCCCGCTTGCCCGCCCAGCAGCACCACTGGACCCCAGGGAATCCCCTAAGCTCTCCAAAAGGTAAGGAGGCTGGGGGGATTAAATTTAAAAAAAAAAATTGTGTGTTAGTGTGTGTGTTTGTGTGTTAGTGTGTGTGTTAGTGTGTGTGTCAGTGAGTGTGTCAGTGAGTGTGTCTGTTATTGGGTGTGTGTCTGCTAGTGAGTGTGTTACTGTGTGTGTCTGTTACTGAGTGTGTTTGATGTCTGTTAGTGAATGTGTGTTTGTCAGTGAAAGTGTATGTTTTGTAAGTGAGTGTGTATGTATGTCTGTCGCTGAGTGTGTCTCTGTCAGTAAATGTGTGTCTGTTAGCTAGTGTGTATGCGTCTGTAAGTGTGTGTGTGTGTGTGTGTCTTCAGCACTTACCTTTCTCCAGCGCCGGACTCCCTTGGCGCTGAGGATCCCTCAGCCTCTCAGCTCCGAATGCGACCGCGCACGCATTCAAACCGCCTATAGGAAAGCATTACTCAATGCTTTCCTATGGACGTTCAGTGTGCTCCTCTAGCGGCTGTCCGTGAGACAGCCACTAGAGGCTGGATTAACCCTCAGTGAAACATAGCAGTTTCTCTGAATCTGCTATGTTTTCAGCTGCAGGGTTAAAACTAGAGGGACCTGGCACCCAGACCACTTCATTGAGCTGATGTGATCTGGGTGTCTGTAGTGGTCCTTTAAGTGTGTGTGCATACCACGGTCGCAGGGTCGCAGCCCTGCAACCCCTGCGACCAGGTGCCCGCCGCCATGTGTTGCGGACCCGACCCGCGCCGAGTAAGCGCGCGGGTGGGGTGGGGGGGGCCCACGGATCAATTTTCACACCGGGACCCCATGGGTCATGTGTACGCCACTGAGTGTATCCTTTCAACCCATTGTCTTGCATTGACTTATTTGCACTTTAATAGTTTAATAGATCCAGCCTGAGACTCCACAGAATCCTTAACTGGATCCCCGAATTACAGGAGGTGGGGATTTGCAGAAAAATGCTGTTAGACACTTTGTAGCAATCAGAAACCGACTCACTAATCCAACATGGCACACACAGCAAAGGTAATCTAAGCCTGATGCTGTTATTTAATATAACATTTTATTCACTTGGTAAATGTCAGAAAACACAAGGTTTAGGGCTTTTTTCTGACACAGCGGCTGAGATTACTTGCTTTGATTTTTCCCCCTTAGTTCTTAAGGAGGTTACATGCTAGGGCGACTACGTTGGGAAGTGTCGATTTCAAAGTAAACTGTGATGCTCTAACTTACAGGTTCCAACCAGAATGATCATTTCAGAGGACGATCTGTTGTTACTTTTGTACACATTTCAGAGCCAAGCTACACATTTTCAGTTCCCCTTGCAAAGGGAAGCAGGTACTCTTCAGCCTTGGGAGAAATCAAGTTTAGTCGTTCAAGGTTTTAGCACACAGTTTACCCCTGCAGGGTGTCTTAGATTTATGAGGAGGGCTCTTAACAAAAATTTTAATAAAAGAAGAGACATGTACAACTATTGCCTAACCAATGAGTATCAAGGTAAGCAGAGTTTGGTACTGCTAGTATTAAAATTCATGGCACTTGTCACGTGCATTGACCAACTTGTTTTAAAGGAACAGGGTTAGGGATACAAACATGTATTCCCAGCACTATAGAGTTAGCCTAAATAAAGTGTCCACACCCCTACAATAGTTTATCTTACCTTTACTCCATTGAGGCACTGGTCTCACTGCAGCCACCCCACCACCTTGGCTGAGATCATTCAGACTGATGATCTCAGCCAATCCAATGCTTCCTTATAGGGAAGCATTGAGGGGCTAGTGGGCATGCATGGAAAACCGCCACACTTTGTCAATCAAAAGCTATCTATGAGCAGAATTTGATTAAATAACTGAGTCTGACTTGGTTATTGATTTTAAGCGACTCTAGTGGCTGTCAGGAAGACAACCTGCAATCAAAACACCTACTAAACATTAAAGTTTTAAAAGTAAACAGCCACTGCTCCCAGACCACATTATTGAGGTCCTTTAAAGGTTGTATATTTAAAGGGACACCCCAAGCACCATAACTGTGGAAGACCGCCTGGCACCCCGACTGAGTACCTCCGCCAATCACGCTTCTTAGTGCTCATCAAGTACCATAAGCACCGCATTGGACACCATAACCACTGTAGCCCCCTTAACCGCCGCAGGTTGGCTTGGGTCTCGCAGTCCCTTCCCACCCTGGACTAAACACCTGGATACAGCTGCCAGTGGGAAGGCCTCTCCTCCAAGAGAGTATCGCTGTATAACTAGTAAAAGAGCAAGTGATATAGCAGTATAGCTGTTCCCCCCACACATTAGCCAAGGCTTAATGATGGGAGTCATCTGTTTATTAGAGGCCACAAGCCCATGCAAGGAGTTTTTAATACAACAATACAGGAAAAACCCTCCCTTTATATTTAAATTATCTCTCAGGTACAAAAAATATACAATTTACAAACATCCCAAAAGTACCCCCAAAACACATAAAAACCCCACAAACCACAAACCTCACATCCCCTGATAGCCCCTATCTGGGTGACCAACATATCCAAAAATCACCCAGATCTGTTCAGGGGTTTAGGTTTTTCATGGAAGTCAATTATTTGACCGACTGCACACATGATTCTATGCCAAAAACAGTTCCATGAAATCAGTGCTAGCGGTCGGTCAACTTTGGTAACATAAAACCGAAAGAATTAACGAACGTAGTCTATATTTGAACCGTGGAGCTTGTTCCTCTCATCCAGACAAATGATTCAACCGAACCGTGTTCTTCTAGGATCTACAGAACCGAACGCAGGTGATGATGGAAGTCCAGCGGTGTTCAGGAGTTTCAGTGTCCGATTTCAGTTCCATGAACTCGACGACCAAACACCACTGCCTGCGTTCGCGGGAACAAGATGGCTGCTGCCTCGTGGTTGTTCTTACGAACTGCGGCCACCCAGACAAACAATTAGAATACTGCGGCTAGATTCGTTAAGAGGTGATCATAGGGCTTAACAAGCTCCCGTGTGGTCCATAGTTCGTGCGTCTGTTCGGTTCCCGAACAGCATGAGAAAATGGCGCGAACTAGGTCTTTTCATATGGCTTTTATAGGGCCCATAGTTGTGCAGCAAGAGGCTTGCAAGCAGGCTCGTCCAGGAGCCCGTGGGGAGGTTGGTTTCGCCACAATAACCACTACATTCTAACTGTAGCGGTTATGGTACCAGGAGGGCCCTGTCACCCTCCTTTACAAGTAGTCAAGCTGTTTTAAAATATCATGACTTCTTATGGGGTTCCCTAAGCAAGAGCTTCCATTAGCTTTCCTGAGCAATACAGGGCTAGATCATTTGCTGAGAGAGACAGCGCAGTCAATGATGTAACAAAGAAGTATAATCAGATGAGAAAAAGTTTATTTTTTTCAAGGAGTTGTCACTGAATTGTGAGTGGTAGTGAGCTAGCAATGAACTTTTAGAATTCAAAATAAACAAAATGTCTAACTTGGTCTTTTTAAATATTTTTTTCACTCTGCTAAATTGTTCCAGTTTGTATAAGATAATAGTCAACTAACCAATGCACCATGATTTCAACTTACTGAGTAGCCCCCTCTGTGATATATTTAATTAAAAAGACTCAAAGGTCCACAATCTATGTTTGATACATCTTTTAAAACAGCTCTGTCACCTTTTGTGACATCCCAGTTAGGTTTGCGGTGGGTGATGGATGCAGCTGAGTTGGGCTCACCTTCTCCTTTCCAGGTGCCGCCATCGTTTTTTTTCAGCAATTTGTGCCTCATGCACCTGGAGCCACAACACTGCTGTATTTTTGTGCATGTGCAAGAGTACAGTACGGAGGTCTCCAAAGGATCCTGCAATGCCGAGAAGGTGCCTGGGTCCCACAGCCATCGTTAGTAACAGCTGTGGTAACTGGCAAAACTTGACTTTGGCCAAGTTTTGTCAACCTTCGAACTTTACCTTCAGACAAATTAGTCCCTACTTTGTCTTGTGCTATCTCTTGATTGCGTTGGAATTTCAGTGGAATTCCAACACAGTCAATATAAGTATTTCATAAAGATTTTATCTTTATGAAATACTCAGAAATGTTGTTGTGATGACAGAGCCACTTTAACTGAGATATGAGAATCAGATGGCATTTCAGTGAATAAATGCCATCTGGGATCATAGAACTCAATTAAGATACTGATCTGTGAAACAGATTGGGCTTTAAATAGAAACTATGTTCTATTTTTGTTTTGTTTTTTTACTTTTTTTTTATATGTCCTATAAAACATTACTATATCACACACGGCATTTAAATACACGAACATGGGGCATGTCCATGACAACATATCTTTCACTTGGTATTTATTTTATTCATTGTAATAGTGAAGTCCGGGGCGAAATGTTGGATACAATTTGAGCCCTAGCTTAGCAGAGTGCCTTAGAGGTTCTTACGATACATTCCTTTTGTGGATTTTAGCGTAGTGTGTGAAGTGTGACTTTTGACATCTCATGGGCCTGATGACAAACTTCTGTCATACTGTTCAGTCCCAGTAGGTGTCACTAGCAGAGCAACACCTGTGTTATACATCGCATTAATGCATTTATGAATCAGCGACAGTGGCATTAACATGATCCCTTGCAGTGTGTGATTGTGTGCTTTTTACCAGTGCCACCTCGTCTGTGCTGCTCTGTACTTAACTAGGGTTTCAGTCTGCGAGAGCTCTGGCAATCACACAGTACCTGAATTGGCAACAGAGCCTTAGTGGCTCGATACAATGCTGCCAAAACAAAGAAACGACCAGCCAGCCAGAACTGGGACTGCTTCTGCGTGCCGTAGTAATTAAATAATCACTGTACAATGGGGCTGCATCCAGCAGTCATTCAGTCTCACAATACCACTTGGGTGGAGAATGAATTACTGTTTGTCGTTGGTAAATATATGACCTGCTTGTCTGTGCTTAATATCAATGCTGGGCATCATATATCCCCAATTCTTAACAAATGTTCCACAGCTCGATTCAGGTGTTGGCATCACCATGGCCAGTGTCTCTCAGCAAGTGGAATGTTACATAAATTCTATCATGGAAAAAATATTTGTGTGTGCATTACAATATTTAATAGCTTAAAGTAAAGATGGGTTTAAAAAGTTTTTTTTTTTAAATATTTAATGTTTTTATACAATCAGATATAAAACATACAGCAAAAACAAACAAAACAACAACAACAAAAAAATACATGAGGATCCAATACGTTAGTGATCCATACCGAACGCAATGAGACTAATAGCCTGCAATACTACTGTTTTTAGTTGATCGATTTTGTATTGTACAGTAATCCATGTGTCTTAATGGTGTGGCGGGGGGGGGGGGAGGTGAATGCACGAGGTGAGGTGACCCCGGTAACACAGGGTAATGGGATCAGGCAGTCTTAGTTTCTTATTGGGCCAATGAAGGGCAGAGACCTGTATTGGGATCCCCGGGCAGAACCAGAACTACTGTAGGGAAGGGAACGGGCACTAAATAGGCTAAATAATGCCATTACATTATCGGTTAACATAGAGGTCCAAGCAACTAATAATTGGCGCCTAGGTGGAGGAGCTCAGGGTCCCATTGTTCCTCCCAACGTTGATCGTGGCAGGGAAGTGGGATGATGTTCCCCACAATATTCTGGCAATTGGTAAGACCAGAATTTCAGTACATCCGACTGAGTCCAGATGTTGTTTTTATTCTCTACTTTTTCTTCACTTTACCCCTCCTTTTTTTCTCTTTACTCTTATTCTGAGGGATGGTGAGGGCGGGGGGCTAGCAGCGGTTTTCTCTCGGAGTCCTAACAGGGAGCGAGATCGGACAAAGGTCATAAGAACTATATATAGACCCCTAAACCTACCGCCCGATGGAGATTAAGATCACTTCCCTGAACGTTAAGGGACTTAACGCCCCAAAGAAGCCTCGACTCCTTTTCAAAGAACTGAAGAGAATGAAATCGGACATTGCGTTTGTCCAAGAGACCCATTTGCCAAAGCAGGCCAAGTTTCGGTTGAGAGACCACGCAAATTCTGGTTCATACGAGGCCAGGTCCCACTGCAAACGAAACGGGTGGCAATTCTTACTAGAAGTAGCTGCCCCTTCCATAAGACACATTATGAAGCAGACCCAGAAGGTCGTTTTGTTATAGTTTCGGGAGTCCTACACTCGCATACCATTCATCTGATAAACATCTACGCGCCGAATCAGCCAGACCCAAGGTTTTGGGGAGTGCTTCGAGAGAAAATATCGGGGCTGCCCCACGGAATGTCATTTTTAGGGGGCGATTTTAATGCAGCCCCATGCCTGGCGGTGGACAGGAGCTTGCGGAAGGGAACACCTAGATCACAGGGTAGGGGCGGCCAGGACCATCTACTTAAAGACTTCATAGCCGAAACGGGAATGGTAGATATATGGTGAGCTCATCATCCAGGGGATAAAGATTACTCTTTCTACTCAGCTCCCCACGGAACGTACTCGAGGATAGACCTCTTCTTGGCTAATGCAGCAGGCATGTCCCGAACAGTAGGGTCACAGGTGGGCAACATATTTCTTGGTCAGACCACGCAGATATATCCATCACTTTGGGTAACCTATGCGTTGCCTCACATTGGACATGGAAACTGAACACATCACTGCTTCGAGATCCGAAGATACTGGAACAGACTAGGAAAGGAATAACAGATTATTTCGAGTTGAACACCACCCCCAAAGTGAACGCAAGCACGATTTGGGCGGCTCACAAAGTGGTTATTAGAGGGACCCTGATTAAACTGGCCACCAGAAGAAAGAAAATGAAGCACCAAAAACTGGAGACTTTGCTGGGACAACTGAGATCCCTTGAACAAAAACACCAAACTGTGCCAACAGAGGGCACTCTCAGGCAACTGGAAGCAGTTAGACGGGACATCCGAACTCTACTACTCGACGATACGGCTAGATCCATGGCTTGGTCAAAAAGGACTTTTTTTGAAAAAGGCGAACATGATGGACACCCTCCTGGCCAGGACGCTTCGGTCGAGGCAGGAGAGGTCCCACATAACGGCAATCAAACATCCGGATGGCACGATGAGATCAAGACCAGTTGAGATAGCGAAGATCTTCGAAGATTTTAATAAAAGATTGTATAACCACACGCCGAGCGGAAGCCCCCACGGGGAGCATGAGGAGGAGTATATATTGCAATATTTGGACAAACCAGGGTTGACCAGATTGAGTGGAGAGGCAATAAAGGCAATAAAGCACCAGGACCAGACGGATTCGATGGCTCATATTACAAAATATTCAGAGAGGTGCTAACACCTCAACTGGTCCGTCTTTTTGATAACCTACGGCAGGGCGGACAATTAGACCCTGACATGTCACTGGCGACCATAGTACTGTTGCCCAAGCCCGGAAAGGATCCGCTATACCCAGAAAACTACAGGCCCATATCATTGAAGATCTTGGCGAAAATACAAGCAGACAGACTGAATCCGTTGTTGAACTCTCTTATTCATGCAGACCAGGTTGGATTTATCCAAAGTCGACAAAAGTCGACAATTGTTTGAAAACACTAGAAGGAACATCGATTTGATTTGGAAGCAAGTGGCTTCAGGGACCCCTACGTTAGTGGTATCTATAGATGCAGAAAAAGCCTTCGATAGAGTCCGGTGGCGATTTCTATTTCCAGTCTTGAAGAGTTGGGCTTCCCAGAAGAATACCTAACAATAACGAGAGCGATGTATCACAACGTACGGGCACAGGTACAGATATGTGGAGCCCCACTGCACCCTTTCAAGCTATACAATGGAACAAGACAGGGTTGCCCACTCTCTCCCCTTCTTTTTGTATTAGCACTTGAGCCCTTGCTTCAAGCGGTACGCCGGCATACGAACATTGCAGGTGTTAGGGTGGGAGACAAAGAGTTTAAAGTGTCAGCCTACGCGGACGACGTCCTTTTGACCATCACGACCCCACTAGAATCAATGGTGGCAATAAAGGAAGTTATAACAGAATACGGCATGGTATCAGGATATAAAGCGAACATTCAGAAGTCCAGCGCCCTCCCGATCTGCCTGACGCAAGCTGACACAGCTCGGTTACAGGAGATCTACCAAATTCGAATGGAAACAGACTCCCTGAAGTACTTAGGAATTCATATGACAGTGGACCCCGGGCGTTTATACCCGGCTAACTACGCCCCGATGCTCAGAGAGTTGATGGGAGACCTAGACAAGTGGACAGAAAAACCCATTTCCTGGATTGGCAGGATCAATTCAGTAAAGATGAACATCCTTCCACGCATATTATTCCTCTTTCAGGCGCTGTCCATCCGAGTCACAAAGACGCAACTGATCCCCCTGCAAAGATCTATAGGAGACTTTATTTGGCAGAACAAGAGACATAGAATCTCCAAACAGATATTATACAGACGTAAAGATAGAGGGGGCTTGGACCTCCCGAATCTCTACTTTTACTACCTAGCGGCTCAATTGACGCAGATAGCCATGTGGCACTCCACACCGGATGAGAGAAGGTGGGTGGAAATTGAGTCTATGCTGGTGGGTGTCGATGTTCCCCAGTTTACGATATGGGTCCCCAAGAAACACAGACCGGCGATACGGATAACATGCCCAGCGATACTTAACTCGATTCGAATATGGGACACATGTAACACCAAATATGGGCTGGCATCATCCCCCTCCCCCTTGACCCCAATTCTTAGAAACAGAGAATTCCCGCCTGGCATGACCCCCAGAGATTTTCGCAATATAGAAAGAACAGGACTACAATGGCTACACCAGCTTTATCAAAATGGGGAGGTTGTACAATTTGCAGATCTCCAATCAGGTAATCACCCTGTGGATTTTTTTAGGTATGTTCAAATTCGTGATTTCGCTAAAAAACCACACATTAAACCAGCAGCCTTGGGGAAACCCACCTTCTACGAGAGGTTATGTTCGGATGGGGTAGCCCCCAAGGGGATGATCACACTATTATATGCTCACCTTAGTGAAGAAAATGGAGAATGGGGAAGATTGACATACACTGACCAATGGGAGACCGACCTCGGGGAGATTATGGAGGGTGTCGAGTGGCAGGAGATATGGGAGGCGAATGCTAAAGTCTCAATATGTGACACCTTCCAGGAGCAGGCATGGAAAACTAAGTTTAGGTGGTATACTACCCCAGTCAAACTACATAGAATGCACAAACGGGAGACTGACGATTGCTGGAGGGGATGTGGAGCCCGAGGAACATACATCCACATGTGGTGGGAATGCCCGAAGCTACGGGGATTTTGGAGGTCCGTGGAGGAACTGTTAAGACAGACGTTTGATAGACCCCTAAAAATGGATCCGTGGATATACTTGTTGAATAGATCTGTGGACGGGTGGACCAAAAGGGAACAGAAATTGGTACACAAGATTACTCTGTGTGCACGCCGAGCAATTGCGACAGCATGGCTTTCACCTGAGGTCCCAGAATTCACAGGGGTTATTTCCAGAATCAAAGAATGTAGAATTATGGATGATCTAACGGCTAGGGTGAGAGGGACCATCGCGACATTCCAAAAAACCTGGGAACCATGGGACAATAGTATAGTTGGCTCGAGAAGAGACTGAGGGCCTCCCACCTCCGGGTATAAACCTAAGATGTAAACACCCCCATTGAAAGTGACTTGATTGTCAACGTAGTGGCTGCGATACCCCTCCCTCCCCTCGACCCCCCTCTCCCTTTTCTATCTCTTTAAGCTCTACTTCTCCTATCTCTTTTCTCTTCTTCTTTCTCTCTTCCTCTCTCTTTGTTTTTGTTTTGTTTTTTCCAGGCAAGATCACACGGTCGGAGGAATAATGTAGCTCAAGTACTAGTTTGATTAGCAAATATAACGGCTACTTGTACTCAGTGGCGTACACATGACCCATGGGGCCCCAGTGCGAAAATTGATGGCGGCGGGCACCTGGTCGCAGGGGTTGCAGGGAGGCGATGAAAAGGCTAATTAAGGTTTTATGAAAACAATGTCATTTTAAAATGGAAAATAGAAAAAAGAAACTACTTCAGGGACGTCAGACCTATTATCTTCAATGAAAAAACTAAACTTGAAATAGCTATGGGGCCATGTCAGATTTTGTCCCATTACATTTCATTGCAGGCCAGACTCATTCTAGACAGTACTCACATAAAACAGGAAGCCAACAATTTTTACAAATGTCTTTCTTTCCATAATTGCAAATGAGGCTTAGAAAATGTTTTGTGTGTTATTGATGAACTAACTAATCTATTCAACTAATACTTGTTGAATAGATCTGTGGACGGGTGGACCAAAAGGGAACAGAAATTGGTACACAAGATTACTCTGTGTGCACGCCGAGCAATTGCGACAGCATGGCTTTCACCTGAGGTCCCAGAATTCACAGGGGTTATTTCCAGAATCAAAGAATGTAGAATTATGGATGATCTAACGGCTAGGGTGAGAGGGACCATCGCGACATTCCAAAAAACCTGGGAACCATGGGACAATAGTATAGTTGGCTCGAGAAGAGACTGAGGGCCTCCCACCTCCGGGTATAAACCTAAGATGTAAACACCCCCATTGAAAGTGACTTGATTGTCAACGTAGTGGCTGCGATACCCCTCCCTCCCCTCGACCCCCCTCTCCCTTTTCTATCTCTTTAAGCTCTACTTCTCCTATCTCTTTTCTCTTCTTCTTTCTCTCTTCCTCTCTCTTTGTTTTTGTTTTGTTTTTTCCAGGCAAGATCACACGGTCGGAGGAATAATGTAGCTCAAGTACTAGTTTGATTAGCAAATATAACGGCTACTTGTACTCAGTGGCGTACACATGACCCATGGGGCCCCAGTGCGAAAATTGATGGCGGCGGGCACCTGGTCGCAGGGGTTGCAGGGAGGCGATGAAAAGGCTAATTAAGGTTTTATGAAAACAATGTCATTTTAAAATGGAAAATAGAAAAAAGAAACTACTTCAGGGACGTCAGACCTATTATCTTCAATGAAAAAACTAAACTTGAAATAGCTATGGGGCCATGTCAGATTTTGTCCCATTACATTTCATTGCAGGCCAGACTCATTCTAGACAGTACTCACATAAAACAGGAAGCCAACAATTTTTACAAATGTCTTTCTTTCCATAATTGCAAATGAGGCTTAGAAAATGTTTTGTGTGTTATTGATGAACTAATATATTGATCATGCTGTTTAAATATATTTGCACACCATGACTTCCATTTAACGTTTTTGGACAAGCTTATCAAATGATTTAATATTTGAAAAATATAAAAAAATTGTGCTACATGGTTGGTTTCTCTAAAGTGGTAATAACGATCAAAGCCAGCTATGGGGTTTGAGATGGTTTAATTCCATTGTTACCTTGCTGATTATCATCGTCTTTGTTTTTCTATTTCATCTGTATCTAATTTACGTGAGTATAAAGATTGTAAAAAATAAAATAAAAATTATATATTAATATTATTTTTATATATCATGTATTTTATATATTTTAATATTTTGAGAGAAAAAAATAATTTCAAAAGCTGATCCAAAAATATTAAGTCAAGGCATATTTTTGAGAAATCAGTGTTTTATTTCTGTGGAACAGTACGTTTAAGATAGGACCATTCATAATAATAATTTGTTTATTCCATATTTTCATGAAATCCCTCACATACCACCTTCTTCTCTACATAGTACCACTTATATAGACAAAATTATTAAAATATAACATTTAATAGGTTCAATTAAAATTCTAAGTGACTGAAAGACACGGTAACACAGTGGGAAAAAACAACAAATGTGTAGAGAATCCGCTGCGTACAATTGCTATATAGACTAAAGAATGTGAGTGGTAAAGCCACTAGGATTATAAATAGAAATATACTGCTAGATTGCCATATCGGAGATATGTTGTAACAAAAAATAATGTTAAAAAAATAATAACAATGAAACCAGGTCCCAGAATAGAAAGCGCAACACAGAAACAACATAGCAATCTACAACGATAATCAGTGCAGGTACTACATATCTCGTTTATAGCAAGTGAAAAATTGTACTAGATGAATCTTAAAGACGGGGGGATATCACCTAAATGTCTAGAAAAAATAAACATCTAGGACACGGGACAATATTCCTCTAGTACCAGTAAATAAATTAGCAAAAGCGAATATACTATGAGAGTATAGATAGAGCAATGTTAGAATAAGTAGGTAGATTACAGAAGGAACATAGGGTACCTTGTAAAAAGATTAACGATATAAGGTAGAGCGGAACTAAGGTATAAGTTAGCGAAAAGTAATCCTTAAGTCTGTGTCTTCGAGGGCACCTAAATGTCTGCTAAGAGCAGGCTTCCTCAAACTTCGGCCCTCCAGATGTTGCTGAACTACAACTCCCATAATTCTATGAATGAAAAAGATAGGCTGAGAATCATGGGAGTTGTAGTTTAGCAACATCTGGAGGGCCGGAGTTTGAGGAAGCCTGGCATGACTACCCAATACCTATTAGTTTTATGTGAGACCCTAAATCTGTGCCTTCAAGGGCACCTAATGAACTGTCAAAATAGAAAATAGAAAATTGTCTAAAGCCTAATAGCTGCTATCTATACAGAAAGGTAAAGTTAGTACACCCTTTCCCTGCTGGCCTCTTTGATCAAATTTCCAAGATAGGATGAATACAAATTGTCAAATAATATCGATATAGAGCAACAGTGTCTGTCAGCAGGGTAGGTGTTAGACCATGGGTCGTCAGCCTGGTCCCTACCGCCCACTAGTGGGCGTTTCAGGATTCCAGGTGGGCGGTAGGGATTTTGGCGGCTAAATCCTCTTTTTGAGAGGGTTTCTCCTTTTGGGCGGGCGCAAGTGGCTCTGCGGGTGCAAGTTTTCAGTGACCGGCATGAGGGAAGCGCTCCTTCCTGCCAGGCCATCTTCTGGACCCCCCGGTGTGGTGTGCGGCAGTGGTAAGATCAGACGCGGCGAGGGAGCTCTAACCTCTCTGCTCTGCTCCCTCTCGCAATGTTTGCTGATGCCGCGGTAGCTGGAATATGACATCATATTCCGGCTCCCGGCATCAGTAGACAGCCTGCGAGGGAGCAGAGCAGAGAAGTTAGAACTCCCTCGCCGCGTCTGATTTTACCACTGGACCCCAAGGACAGATTCACACCAGCTCTCCAGGTAGGGAGACTGGGTGGACATTTAATATTAATAATTTGTGTGTATGTGTGTGTGTCTGTAAGTATTTGTGTGTGTCTGTAAGTATATGTGTGTGTCTATAAGTGTATGTGTGAGTGTGTCTGTAAGTATATGTGTGTGTGTCTGTAAGTATGTGTGTGTGTGTGTAAGTGTATGTGTGTGTCTGTAAGTATATGTGTGTGTCTGTAAGTGTATGTGTGTTTGTAAGTGTATGTGTGTGTGTCTGTAAGTGTATGTCTCTGTAAGAGTATGTGTGTTTGTGTCTGTATGTGTGTCTGTCTGTTAGTGTATGTGTTTCTGTAAGTGCATGTGTGTGTGTATGTTTGTCTGTGTTTCTCTGTGAGTGTGTGTCTGTGAGTGTATGTGTCTGTAAGTGTATGTGTTGTGTTTGTCTGTGAGTGTGTGTGTCTGTAAGTGTACGTGTGAGTGTCTCTGTGTGTTTGTCTGTGAGCAGAGTACTTGTACAATAGAAGAAAGAAGGAGCAGAGTATTTATAAAAAGGAGAAAGAAGGTGCAGAGTACTTGTAGAACAGGAGAAAGAAGGAGTAGAGTACTTGTAAAAAAGGAGAAAGAAAGAAAGTAAAGGAAAAGGAGAGAATTGTTGTTGGCTAATAATAGTAAGTGGGCTCCCTAGCTCAGTCTTCCTACTGGGCATTGCTATAAGGAAGGTTAAAAAATAGAAAAAAGGAAGAAATAAAAGGTGGGATGGGGAATTGAGGAGGGAGAGGAGGGGAGCTGATGCACAGATGAGAAATCATATTATGCTCAAACAGAGAAGTCGTCTGAATATCACCGAAAGAGGAGACCTTCATTTGTTCTTTACAAAAATCGAACCAGATATCAAATATTTAGTCTCTCAGCATCAACCTCAAGGATCTCATTAATCACTAGTAAAGATAATTTCAATTTACTTTATTGCTTTCTCATTAAACTTTATAAAGTTAAAAACATTATAAACATGAATAAAGTAGAAATAAAAAGATAAATGTACGTACATTTTTTTTTTTTTTTTAAAACACCCTCCTTTCTAAAAAATATTCTGCACTTGCGTGAAAACTGGTGGGCGGTAAGGAAATTTTTCTATCAAGAAAGATGCATTAGTGGGCGGTAGGTAGAAAAAAGTTGACTACCACTGGGCTAGACTATAAATCCATATTTGTTACTTTTTGTTCATATTGTTTTTTCATGCTTACTGTACACAATTGTTTCCATGTGTCTCTATCATTTCTTGAATTCTGTGCAATAAACAATGAAATACAAAGAAAAAGAAAACATGGCATAACATTGTCTATGGAAGAAGCAAATGCAGGAAGATAGGAATAGGATAGTACCATTAAAACAAAAGGTGATTTATATTTTATCTATACTAGATATCATGTAGCAGATAAAACCGTCATTACTGATTTCCTTCTGGCTCTGTGGAATTGACGAGTGACTATTCCAGCCCTGTTTATACAGACAGTGTAAGTGTGTGGGCCACTGAGGTTTTCATGCTTGGGTAAGAGGGAAAAATTCACCCCTGGCTCTATTGGCTATTTAAATATGCACACAGATGTTGTTTGAAACACTTGGTTTGTAATGTGTGTAAACAGATTGTAAAACTCTTCTAAAAACAGAGATGGAAAGCCTCTGGCAAGGGAGTTAATGCAGAGAGCTGGCCAAGAGTCTAGAGAGTTGTCATCCACAGCAGCTGCATTTACCTGGGGATCTGTATCCAGGTGTCCACCCACCTACCTAAATAAGTCGAAAATTTCCTCAAATCATTACACTAGCAGCAGCAGCCTGAACCAAGGTAGGATGGATTCCTGAATTCATGTAATCTACACCAAAATCAGATCCTAGCTTTGCATACCTCAGCAGAAATTGATATTTGTCAGACCTGGTAACCTTTTTTCAATCTATAATTATCCTTTTTTTTTCATTCTTGCCTACTGTGATGGAGCTTCTGTTCTCCGACCGAGTACTACCCAATCTGCTTCCTAGCCGCTTGCAGGGACCCTAACGCTTCTGCCCCAGTCACCAAAGCTTGACTGGGGTAGCTCAGGAGCTCTTTCACCTGACCAGGCTGCAGCTCTCCCTCCAGGATGGTATCGTCCCCTCTGCCTATTCCACTGCAGTACTTCTTCCAGGCAAGTTTCGTCCCTCCTGCCTATTCCACTGCAGCAGGTATCCACCTCTTCCTGCAATGTGATTGCTACTGCCTTTACAGAGGCCTTTACAGAGGCCTTTACAGAGGCACTTACGACTCTCAGGCCTAGCTCTCTTGATTTATCCCAGGGCTAAAGGTATCCTGCAGCCAGCCAACGGGTTTGAAGACTCTGTCACTGGGATTGACAGAGGAAACCCAGTATCAAATGGAACTAAAATACACTACCTTATTTCAACTCAGGACTAACCCACATATTCACCACACCTAGATTGCTGTGACAACTTTAATAAAAAAACAACCAACCAAACCATCGCAGACAACATACAGCAACTTATTATGACATAATGACATATCCATAAGGGGGTGGGGAAGACAATAATCAACACAATATATCTCTTCTGCCTGTAGAATTAGCAATATGCTAATCTATTCGAACATGCAAAGTAACAAACCTTGACACCTAGGCAGTGCACACAGCCACAACCACCAACAGAGGGCACTATACAGTCTCAACAGCCAATTCCACCCAGTTGGTAGCAAGCATCAGCAGGACAAGAGAGCACACAAACAATACATACATAATACACATACAATACACACACCTGCACCTACAATGGGCACAGGGTGACTTAAACATAGGATTCATCCAGGGATCCAATTGAAGTGTCCATCTTGTGTTCGCAGCGATGGTGACTACTGTCACCTTCTTTGTTTTGTAGTTGATGGAAGGCTTCAAGAATCAAAATCTGCAGATGTCGCCCATTTGCTTTAAGGTTTCATGTAAGTTAATATCTTCTGCAAACTAAAGTTGGAAAATGTTAAATCAACTTTATGATCGAAATACTCACATTGACTGTGCTAGAGGGTCACTGAAATTCCATAACAGTCAAAAGATATACTAAGACAAAGTAGGGACAAGTTTCACATTTTGTCAAGGCCTTGGCCGTTACTAGTGATGGCTGTAGAGGAAAAATACATTGTCTATGGAGACTCCGGCAATCTTACAGGATCCTCTGTACACATCTGTGTTGTACTCTTGGGCATACGCAAGCGTACAGCACTGATGTAAGCTCTGGCAGATAAAGAGGATCCAGCAGAAGAAGGGACAGCTTGAAGGGACAGCTTCAGGTAAGTAAAACCTTCCTTTCACTGCAACCCTGGGCCACCTACCGCCATTGTCATCGTCAGTAACAGAGCCACTTTAACAAGGAAACTGAACATTTTAGGTCAAAACCACATACTGTACCGGAAAAAAATTCTATCTACCTATTTTTCCAGCATAGATCTTTTGGGGTGAAATGTGCAATTCTTATGTCAGCAGTTCCCACGCTAGTGAAAAGCTCTGTGTTTGTTTGTTTTACATACCATATTTTGTAAACTCTAGTGAATGAAAATCTCTGGAGATCAAATGGTTCTCAGATGTTCGATTCACCTCATCTGGTTTAAACAATCATACTGCAGCAGATGTTTTGTCCACATGACTTCTTCAGAGGACATTTTGTTCAAGTAACTTCATATTTCAGGAACAATTAAACTTCTTGACCATGCCTGCATAAATTATATGTTAAGCTCATTCACTATTTTATTTATTTTAATGGTCGTGTCTACCTTCTAAATATATAGCAAAGATGGTCTTGGCACTCAAGGGTTCATCAGTAGGCAATTTTAGTAGAATTCCGTGTATCAAAAAAGCAGCAATGTTTTGATACATGGGATTCCATTAAAGAAACAAAATATATCTATGGATAGGGCTAATTGTCAGATTCCACAGAAAAAAAACACCTTTATTGACACTCCAGCAGTGTCATATGGGGCTTAACCCCTTCTCATAGAATATTGGAAAAATTCACAGATCTGGAGAGACCCCTCAGATGTGTAAATGATGACTGGAAATTTGAATGAATGGTTAATATCAACAAACAAAAATAAAAATAGTTGGTGAATATATCAGAAACAAATCAAAAAACGATCAATACATAAACCTCCACAGCTTGAATAGCTGTACCTCCCTGATGTCTATGTTAGTTAGTGTCAAATCAGACTCCTGAATTTAATGTTATATTTTTAGTGTCAATGTCTGAAATACATAAAGATACAAATATCATAGACAGCAATTCTAATTATACACAGCATTTGTGTCAAAGTATCAAGTGCTCGGCAAAAAAGCAACAAAATAATGCTGCTGCCTTGTTGTTTAAATTATGCTGTGTTATTCCTATAAACTCTATGGGGTGAAAATAACCTGTTAAATGCTGATCAGCAGGCTTATCATTCATATAATTGTATGTGGGATTGACTTCATTGTCTAGATACCCATCAAATACAAGATATTCAGTCCGTAAAAATAAAGTGAAAAATTGACGGACTGATCGTGACTACCTGTGATGTTAGATATAGAAACAGGTATGTTATAATTCACTTCCCCATAGTGTATAGACAGAATATGCAAGAGGAAAAGAAAAGATAGAACAATTAGTGCGTGCTAATGTGCAGGACCATACTTAGAATGTTGGTCCTTGCACATGTGACAGTGTGCCCTGTGAAGTGAGGAAGAAAGAAAAGAACCCGACGCGCGTTTCGGTGCCACTAGCGTGCACCTTCGTCAGGGGCTGGAGGTTTATGTATTGATCGTTTTTTGACTTGTTTCTGATATATTCACCAACTATTTTTATTTTTGTTTGTTGATATTAACCATTCATTCAAATTTCCAGTCATCATTTACACATCTGAGGGGTCTCTCCAGATCTGTGAATTTTTCCAATATGGGATTCCATTAATACTGCCTATTGATTAACCCTTTAGTACCCAGACCATCATTGCTACATGTGTATGGAGGTTGTACCTACCTCGGTACCTTCTTAATAAAGTGACACGCACGGGGCAAATACCCCCATGTTAATTATACATTAGATTACAAATACCTGTATAATACCTTTATTTTCAAATATTTCATTTGATTAATAATACTGATTCAAATGTAATTTTTGGTTGTAGGGGGTTTCCTCTCATTCCACCGTTTGTCTGCTTTATCCCATCGCATCTCACTTTATCAGATTTCTCTCCCCTTGTCTTTTTCCTTCTTTAACGCATATCTTCAACTGTTCTCTTCCTTCTAGCATTATTGCTGCTCCTCTTACGTGTCTTAAAAAAGCCATCTCTTGACCTGTCCTTTCCATCTACCGTCCTATATCCCTGCTCTCTTTTTTCTCAAACCTTCTAGAATAACTTGTCTTTACCCGGCTTTCTATCTCAATTTTAGGTCAAAACCACAGTCCAGACAAAAATTTTATCGACCTATTTTCCAGCACTGTACTGAGACTACTCTGATTAAAGTAACATATTACCAAATCACAGCTAAATCCAAAGGCCACTACTCTATACTAATTCTTCTTGACCTTTCTGCTGCTTTGACATTTTTGGTCATGGCCACCTTCTTTAAGCTCTTCAGTGACACTGTCCTCTCTTGGTTCTCCTCCAATCTCGACCAACGTTCACTCAGTGTCTCCTTTTATAATGTCAACTCCTCGTCTCGGTTGGAGTCCCTCAAATCTCTGTTCTTGGTCCCCTTTTGTTTTTTCTTTATACTGCCTCCCTTAAGAAAATGATTAATTCCTTTTGATTCCACTACCACCTGCACGCTGATGACACCCAGATATATCTCTCCTCTCCTGATCTCTTCCCCACTGTCCTAGAACACCTCACTGGATGCTTTTCTTGTCCCTCTTTACATTGGCTTCCTGTACCCGGTAGGATTCAATTCAAAATACTAACCCTTACCTATAAAGCTCTAAACAACTCTAGCTCCTGTTACATTTCTTCATTAATTTTTAGGTATGTCCCTTCTCGACCTCTCTCTATGCCGGTGCTCACATCCTTAGTGCTAACTCGCGCTTGCAAGACTTCTCGTGGCCGGCTCCTTTCTTTTGAAACAGCCTACCTGCACCCGCCCGATTCTTCCTTGGTCTTCAATCATTTAAGATGTCCCTCAAAACCCATCTCTTCAGAAACGCTTATGGCCTCCTAATGTAACTTCTATTTCACAAACCTGTCTCTTGCTCTGTCTTAAAAGGCCCACACTCAACTCTCACATTCCAGTTCTGCTACTTTCCCACCTTGTCATTTGGTTGCTATCCCCTACGATGCCCTTCCTATTGTGTTTTTATACTCCACCTCCTCTAAACTGTAAGTTCGTTTGAGCAAGGTCATCATCAACCTATTGTTCCTATAACATTCTGATTTATTGTCTGTTAGTTATTGTCTGATTTATTGTAGAATTTTCCCCTTTATAATATTGTAAAACGCTGCTGAATAATTTGGCACTATATAAATGACAAAATTAATAATATTATTACGTAAGTTGCATAAGCCTGATCTTGGCCCTTTTTATGTTTTACTGAGAAGAAATCATTGTTCCTTTCTTTATTATTACAAATAAAATATACTTTTTACAAGCACAGAAGTCGTGCCCAATAACCATTATCCTTATTGCAGTGTTTTATTGCATCCTGTTTGAAGTGTCTCCGGCAAATTCCATTCCACACCCTAATTTCACTAATGGGGAAAGCACACATTTGCAATAATCAGCTCCCTGGAACCTCAAAATACTTTAACCCCTCCCAGGCTGGGAAGACAATGAAAGCTTTCTTGGCATTGATGTAGAGACTATATTTGGAACAGTATACTGGATGTTTCTTAAGCCTGGGTGATAGTATGCCAGTTTGCTAATGCTGTAATGATGAAGCACTCATAACCATTCTAACAATGAACTTTCAAAAACAGTTGTTCTGGAGTCTATAACCTGTCTCTGTCTATTTTTGTAGCATTGTAAAATTGTCTTTCAATGATGGCCACTAGAGGTGCTTCCCGTGTAGGTGCACAATGCGCATTACCTACATTCAGCATCTCCACGCTCTGCATGGAGGCACTGAACATTCGCCATAGAGATGATTGATTGGCGCAGCATGGTATTTTTCTGCGCATGCGTAATAGCCTTCCAAATGTTTCCTATGGGAAAGCATTGGATTGGCTGAGATCATCAAAAGTGATGATCTCAGAAATGGAGGCGGGACCAGGCAAGGCCAGCCACAGAGAGTGGTGTCGGAGAAAACATTAGTAAAGTCACCTTTAATCTCTGGAGAGAGGGGGTCCAGAGACCTAATGCTGCGTTCTAGCACTATAGTGTCAGGAATACATGTCTATATATATATTTTTTAGTGCTTCTCCTCTTTTTCCCTCTATTGCTTACATCTTCCCACTTGATGTGGGAAACAAATGGTTTGAAAATTCTCCTATCACTGTCCTGCAAAATATGCCCATAATATTTATATTTTGCAATACACTTTATTTAACAGTGGGCAATGGCATAATTGCCTGAAATATAAAAAAGTTTCCAAGTGAATCGATTTGTACCCATCAAATTATTTTGCTGGGCACAAGTCTACTTCTGATGACTTTTGTCCAAGCCAAACATATAGAGAAACATGGAGGAAATGCTTGGCAATCGCCACATTCCACCAATCAAATTCTTTATGAACAGAGGCATGGGGGAACATGCTTGGTAATCACCATATTCCACCAATCAAATTCTTCCTATAGAGAAGCATGGGAGAAATGCTTGGCAATCACCACATTCCACCAATCAAATTCTTCATAAAGAGAAGCCTGGGGGACATGTTTGGGAATCACAACATTCCACCAATCAACTTCTTTTTATAGAGAAGCACTAAGTAAATGCACTTTACACCATCATACTGTGTATGTTGAGGCCTAAACTACTAAATGTATGATTTAGGCAAAATGTGAGCATTGATGTTTTTCAGAAAAGGCATTGCCAGAGAAATCGTACAGCATCTAATGCACCACAACCCCTACATTACATTAATATGAAGTGGTTGTGGCAGACTTTGCCACCTATTTCATGTTTTGTCCCCTTATTTTGTGTGTTTTACCCATTTTCCATTCGGGAGTACTTTATACGAACAATATCCATTTGTTTCCTGAACAAGGACCTCCACTATACCCCATTAGAAAGTTCACACCAGCAACTTAGTGCAAAACCGCAAGGTAAGTAATTAATGAATGCTACCACTGGTTGGCCACCATTTCGTGTAATCTTGTCTCCCGAATGTGTGCAGCAATACTCGTCGAGTGCCTGGAACTTTTTTCGGCTGGGTACTCGCATGAACGCTGGTAAAACTTAGACCGCTATCTGTTCTATTTCCCGACCACCTACACGAACTATGTTTTGGGAGAAATGAACTACTGAACAGGGGTAGCATTTGTATCCTAAAATGAAGAGATTCCCTTGCTTGGTGTTTGCACAGGAACTCCATAAACAGACACCTATTCTCCTGGAACTGTTTTGGGCTAGCGTCTCGCATCTGGCCAGTCAAACCTTTACCTCGATGGCATTCCCGTTCCACCAAACCGATCTGAGTGATCTTTGGATATGTTATACACTCAGATCGGGGCTATCCGGGGATGTACTTTTGTGGGGTTCCTGAGTATGGTCGGGACACTTTTGGTGTACTGTATTTTTGTATGGATTTTCTGTACCTGAGAGATAATTGGATTAGAGGTTTTTTTCGCAATTATCTCTCAGGCACAGAGGATCTTGGGATTGAAACCCCTGTTTTATTGTATTGTAAACCACATGTAGGAGACTGGGCATAAAAGTCCTGTGTGACCAAATAAACCTCAGTTGACTCCCAGAACTGTGTGTCATCCAGTTACTGCGCTTCTCTTCCAGCTCCAGAGGATTACAGAGGAGATATTCAGTCTCAGCATTGCAGATCCGCTACAGTGGTTTTGGTACTTCAGTGTCTCTTTTAATGACACCTAATGACAATTGTTTAAAGGTTTTTTATAAAACTTGTTTTGTAGTTATCATCTTACTCAGAACTTTGTTTACATACAGTTCTGCGAGAAGAGGCAAAGAGTCTGGCAGTTGTCCAATAAAGTGCTATGTAGTACCACAGTCCAGCTACTGTATTGTTGTGACATAAAACCCATTCACGCATTCAAACTTGCTTTCAAAATGACAAACATATTCATAAATTTATATTACCAGACCTTTAATTTATTGATTGATCTTATTGATCAATCGGTTTCCTTTGAGTTGAATTATTCTCATGTCTCTTTTATTGTGATTTGCTACCACAAAAGTCCTTCCTAACTGCCATGTCAATTGCTTTCTGTTCATTGTGTAATGGTGGACATAAAGTAAATCACATGGTGTGAGATACAGAGGACAGAGGAATAGCTAAAGGAGCCACAAGATCATCTCTTTGTTTGGCATAGGAACATTGCCTGAGCCCACAGTGTGTATGCATGCTTTACATGGTTTTTTAATTGACATAGAATGAATCAGTTTACATGGAATGATTTAGGAATCTCTTCATATTTTCTTTATTTCTTCAGTTGAGGGTTCTAGTTAGGCATGTGCATGGGGAAAATTTTCGGTTTGGAATTCCAAAATTCGGGATTTTCGCAATTTGGGACTTTGGCAATTTGGCACTTCAACACTTCTGAACTTCGGAATTTCGGAACTTCAGCATTTCTGAATTTCGGGACTTTGACACTTCGTGACTTCTATTGCAGTCGCTTAGTAGATAACTCCCTAATTCCCACGGTATTAGGGAGTTACCTACCAAAAGGCTGAAAGAACTCAATTGGTCTTTCAGCCAAATTTACTAATACTAAGTAAAAATTGCTTAGTATTAGTAAATTTTGCCCCTACTCGCTTTAGCGCAAGTAGGGGCATGTCTAGTAAACAGTGAGCAGCCCGTGGCTGCTCACTGTTTAAAAAAAAACTTGCCCCCCCGAGCGGTGGGTGGGGGCCCTAAATGCTAATAAGGGGGTGGACCTAATGTCCTCCCCCCTGGCCCCCACCCCTGAGCATACCGTGGGAATTAGGGAGCTATCTACTTATTCATTCCTGTCATTACATTCACAGGCTAAGTAACTTACATTTTATATGAATGTATGTTACTTGATTGTTGTGCATTTGCAAATGCTTACAGCTGAATCCTGGCTATGATTGTATACTTTTTATTTAAAATTGTATACAATGTAACATTCTTCTTCTTTCACTGGGTAAGTATATTAGTACTTAGGCAATACTGTGCTTTGGAACTTCGGCACTTCGGCACTTTGACACTTCGGAACTTCGACACTTTGGAAATTTGGTAATTTCGGAACTTCAGGACCTCAGTAATTCGACACTTCGGCAATTTGGCACTTCGGCAATTCGGACATTCGGAAGTACCAGAATGTCCGAATTGCCTGAAATTCGTCCGAATTCATATTTGGACCGAAACGAATTGCACATGTCTAGTTCTAGGTAATGACAAGTGGCATCCTTTCGATTACTGCCTGTGACTTGTACTCCAGAAGTTGTTCTGGAATAAGTTATGTTTTTACGTGTGGCAGACATGAATAGAATAGGCCGAGAATATGTAGGATACATGTTTAGACTTAAGTGTGGATTTGCCATTTCAGATGGGAAGTTAAAATTTGGTAGATTCTAAAATAGACAAAATAGGAAGTTAATATACACTGTATATGCTAATCATAAACGGTAGGCATTGAAAACAGAGCAGAGGTAAGAAAAACTTCACTTAGATTACAAATAATACAAATAACTCAATGATTTCTGCTAAAAGGATGGTGGGACAAGAGGTTACCCTTTGCATTTCTGGAAACCGTCTATAAATTCCCATCACTGTCTTCAGCAAAATCAGTAACCATAATCCATAGGCTTCCTGACATATTAACTGAAGCTAACTGAAACATTTTACTTTTTCACACTGCAAGCAAACATAGTAGAATGATTGTATGAATAATATGGTCTGGCTCATGGTTTTAGTAAGTATGATTTGGGATCCCTGACATCCCACTCCTCCTACAATTGAAGCCTTATCTTGGGTTAGGTATTGATGTTCCAGGGGATCGTCCTTTTCTTTCTCACTTGCCTACCTCTTGGTTGTGACCTTTAATTAACCCTTACCCTTTCTCTCGTCTTTTTTTAGTTATTGCTTCTTGTATTGGAGTGATATCTTTCTGTACCATTTGATTTTGCATTTCAGAATTATAGGCATATTCAACCCTTTAAAGACCAAATGTTGTACTTTGATATCACCACAATATGGTCCATAAAATATTATTGCTGCATGGAATGTCCTACTTATTAAGTAGCATTAATAATGCTATCTGGCCCTCGGTCCTTTGTTGATTTGGTAATTCTATTTTTAAAAGGAACTCTTAAAGCAAAAATTGTTATGATGGGATAGATTTTCATTGGTCCTTCGAGGGGTTACATGAAGGAATGTATAAATGGATTCCACCAGAGGTTCTCAATCTAGTTCTTAAAAATTACAAGCTGATTAATTAATTAATCACAAAATTCTGGATCATGGTTCATTCTGGAGTCTAAATGCATAATTCATAACATTAAATAGTCCCAAGATTTGATGGTGGTGGTGGATCCTATAGGGAGGAAATTAATATTGGTACTCTTGCCTACTTGTGTTGAGATATGTTGCTCACCAGTCGCCCTACTTTGCTCATGTGCAGAATACTGTAAAAAAAGGTGGTTAATAACACTTTGTGCACTGCCCACCAGATATTTACTGCAAAATGTTTCTCTGTGGGAAACAAAATGTTGTTCTGTTCGAATGTGTTAATATTACAAAACAAAGTGAAATTAATTTGAGTGGAGTGAAAGTTATTTGCAGAAGTTCCACTCATTTTTAAAAATACATGTAGATATATAACTTTTTGTGGGGCAGCTAGCCCATATTTATTTGTTCATAAGCAAACAGAGACAGGACAACCTTTAGATTTAGATTTCAGATGATTGGAGAAAGAAAAGCTACAATATGTAAATCAATCCCGCTAGCCCATAGAGTAAATAACCAGCCACCTATTGTGCTAATACCATGTGCTATAGTCAAGTATTAAACTTTCTGATGCTGTTTTCATTAACAGGTTTTATATATCCAGAAGCCAATTCATTATTTTACTCGTTGCCACAGACACTTCATTTCTCGTAGGACCTGAGATAGCTTTTCTTGCTGTCTATGTACCTCTTTGGCAGATTCCAAGTGTTACAGGATGCAAAAAAGGCATATTAGACAGGCACACATTATTTGGAATGCTGAAGTCAGGTAGAATCAAAGCCCATTAACTACAGCTGTGAAGAAAGAAGTTTGGAAGTGGCTAAAAAAAAATAAAGAATTTATCCTTTGAATTCCAATATGTTCAATTTAACAAATGTACAACACGTTTTACGCAACTTGCCAAGAAAGGCTGAAGCTGAACGCAGATACTCAGAGTCATTTTTAATTGCTCTCTGGAGCCGGTGTAATAGTTTATAGACATGTTTTTATTGTTAATCAGTTCAATTCCAACAAACATATCCAGTAGAACTCATATACTAAAGCTTATATAGCATATATATATATATAAATATATATATATACACACACACACACATATGTATCCCAACTGTTGCCAAGGTGAATTTTTCCACTATTTTGCTGTTGGGGTGGGAGTATATACAAATGACAGGGAATTGGACAACTGGTTCAAAACTGCGTATTTTGTTGGCGATGGGGACTTGGTCAGACCATTGATGGGTTTGGTACGCTATCAAGGCAAGTCCACTAAACATGATAGAAACACCTCGGGTATTGCCATTGACTTCATTTCCATATTGTATCTCACATTACATATTGTTTTGGTGAAATACAGAAGATGAGGTGAGATGTGTCCTGTCCAACCCACAAGCCTTCCAGCTCTAACACCATCTTACTAAACAGGCTTACGCTAATTTAATAGACACTTCATGGTCCAGTGATCAATGTGCCTTTTAAAAATCAGAAACAAACTTACTTACTCTGCTATTATGTAGCAAAACTGGATTTCTATTTAGTTTAGCTTTTATTTCATACAGAAGAATACAAATAAAGTGATCAGATCATTAGAGCAATCTATATTTAGTCCCCCCCAATACTGTCAGAAAATCTACTTCTGGTGGAGCTTGAAGTCATGGTTCCCACTTTCTACTGCTGCACACTACTTGCTGTGAATTTGTGGAACCTGATATCTTGGGGCGATTCCAGACAGTTGTCTATTTGTTTCTGACCCACCTGATCTTCTGATTGCTTGCATTTATAGTATACCTGTGGATATCACAAGTGCTACTTTTCTGAATTGATTGCTCCCCGCAAACCCAGAGCCAATCAAGTACAGAGGACTTTCTAGCTGATCTGAGCCCTTTGGGGTATCCATAGTGATGTTTTGCTCTGGTCCTGTTTTGCTGGGTTTTTTTTATCCGGCTTACCTGACTGCGTTTTGCTTTTCCTGCCCTTCTATACCTGATCTGTCCTGTTTGCCTTCTTCTCTTACTGTCTAATCTGTGTACCAGCCCCTGTCTTGTCTTACTACTTGACACATGTACCTGTCCCTGACTTGCATTCTGCCTGATTTTGTATACTGGTCCCCTGCTTGTCTAACTTCCCATCCCATATACCAGTCCCTGGCTTGTCTAACTTCCCGTCCCATGTACCAGTCCCTGGCTTGTCTAACTTCCTGTCCCATGTACAAGTCCCGGGCTTGTCTAACTTCCCGTCCCATGTACCAGTCCCGGGCTTGTCTAACTTCCTGTCCCATGTACAAGTCCCGGGCTTGTCTAACTTCCCGTCCCATGTACCAGTCCCGGGCTTGTCTAACTTCCCGTCCCATGTACCACTCCCTGGCTTGTCTAACTTCCCATCCCATGTACCAGTCCCTGGCTTGTCTAACTTCCCATCCCATGTACCAGTCCCTGGCGTGTCTAACTTCCCATCCCATCTACCAGTCTCTGGCTTGTCTAACTTCCTGTCCCATGAACCAGTCCCTGGCATGTCTAACTCTTGTCCCATGTACCAGTCCCTGGCTTGTCTAACTTCCCGTCCCATGTACCAGTCCCTGGCTGTACCAGTCCCTGGCTTGTCTAACTTCCCATCCCATGTACCAGTCCCTGGCTTGTCTAACTCCCGTCCCATGTACCAGTCCCTGGCTTCTCTAATTTCCCATCCCATGTACCAGTCCCTGGCTTGTCTAACGTTCCATCCCATGTACCAGTCCCTGGCTTGTCTAACGTTCTGTCCCATGTACCAGTCGTTGGCATGTCTAACTTCCCGTCCCATGTACCAGTCGTTGGCTTGTCTAACTTCCCATCCCATGTACCAGTCCCTGGCTTGTCTAACGTTCCGTCCCATGTACCAGTTCCTGGCTTGTCTAACGTTCCGTTCCATGTACCAGTCCCTGGCTTGTCTAACGTTCCGTCCCATGTACCAGTCCCTGGCTTTTCTAACTTCCCATCCATGTACCAGTCGTTGGCATGTCTAACTTCCCATCCCATGTACCAGTCGTTGGCATGTCTAACTTCCCATCCCATGTACCAGTCGTTGGCATGTCTAATTTTCTGGTTCCGTATACCAGTCTCTGGCTTGTTTGCCTGTCCTTTGCTGTGTCTGGTATTGTGTGTTTTATTTTTTGTTCCACTCCTAGCCTGTAGTCTTTTTCTCAGTTTAGTCCTGTTACTTCCTAGTTCCTGCTTTACTCTTCTACCCCTCTGTCTTTGCCTTTGTGAGGTTGCTGTCTCTCACCTTGCTGAGGATCCTCTAGCCAACCCTGACACATACATATATGTAAATACAGTGGGACCTCGGTTTACGAATTTAATGCGTTCCCCAGGACGTTTCTTATTGCGAAAAATTTGTAAACTGAAACGCGGTTTCCTATAGGAATGCATTTAAAACCAATTAATCCGTTCTGGAGGTCAGAAAAAAGTCAAAATGAGCTGGCATGGAAACCAACCCACAATGCAGAACACACAATAAAAGGCATGCAAACGACAAAGCTCAGCTCCCTACCTTTCCACAGCTTGAGAAATTCACCAAAAAGTCCCAAAACAACTGCAAACAATTTACAGAATGGCTCCAAAACTCGATGCAAAAACTACTCCAACACCTCCACACTCAATGCCACGTGCTACCCACAGACTCCAGCATGCAGGGGGCGGTGCTATAAACCATTATTTTCAATGTATTTTCATTTGTAAACAGAAAAGTATGTTGACCGAGTCGTTTGTAAACCGAGGTCCCACTGTATATGTGTTTCTAAATATACTTATATGTAAATTTTAAATTCCCATTGAATGTACGTTATTTCACTCTGACAACTCACACTTTAGTGAATCAATTAACTAATTACCCTGTATGAAGGTAGATAAGGAGCAAAACGCTACATTATATTATTTTCGAATTTCGTATAAATCTATACAGAAAGTGTGTCACTGAGGTGGCTCTGGCATGGATATTACACGATATTCAAATCTTTATGATTCATTAATTGCATTGTTATGAGTCTACTTTGAAACACGTGATGCGTAATATAAACCTCTGTTAAAAGAAATTAAGGTTTAAAACTGGGGGGGACGGGACATGTAATTGCATTTTTTTTTTTATCTAAAATGTGCAAATCTTGTCTTGATAATTTCAAACAAATCAAAATCTAAACAAATATTTTCTTTCCATCTAACTACAGCTTTCAGAATCTCCTGATCCTGAAATTGCAGACCCTCGTAAAACCTGGATGAGGTTCATACACAGAACGGAGGATGGGGCAAACGCCAAAAAGAAATGTAAAGGAAAGGACAAAAAATTAGTAAGTTGCAACCTAGATTATCTGTGGATATTTCTCCAAAATCCTCTTTTAAATGATTCAATATGACCTGCAGATTTTTGTATATTTATATTTTGTCTCTTTAAATATAATTACCATACACGCTCCTATTTCAGTATTGGATTGTGGAATAACAGTGTGTGTGTATATATATATATATATTTATGTCTTCCGGAATGAGTCATGATATTTCTATTTCAAGTTACCACTAATTTAACTAAAATACTAGTTTGATTTTTACAGGCATAACCCAGAAATAGCATAATGTGTCGAAATACCAAATCTTTTTTATTAGATCATAGATCAAACCCGAAAAAAAAAAAAAAAGCACTTATTATGAACTAAATAAAGATACAAAATTGAGATAAGGCTTTGCAGAGCGCTGTGCATATTTGGAATTATTTTAGATTTTTTTAGATTTTAAAAAAATAGCCGGGGAGAGCCACCCTCCTAAAATCAACGATAATACCAAAACGTCTATATCTACTACAAGTGTTACGATACTGCTTTCACGTTCAGTTGAACAAAAATCTAAATCAAGTATTTCTCAGGAAATAAACGCCCATGAATAGCAATGCATAAACTATCTCAACCAAGATTTAATCTGGATTTAAATTTCCAAAATTTAAAATTGTACACTTTAACAGCACCCAGCCTCCACTCCCTAGACTGGATAAAAGGAATTTTATTGTAAAATGTATTGTAATACCTACAGTATCAAACTTGCAACGTGCAATGCAATAATTATAACTACCTTGCTTATGGATATCATTGATAAAAGACAATAAAAACATTTGAAACAAACATACAAACAAACAAACAAAAAATAGTAGGATTCACTGACGCTAGCTTTAGGGCAATTCGTAAAGCTGTACTAGAGAATACGGCTCAGGATCGAGTAAAAATGTAAAAATACATTTGCACAATTTCAATAGTTTGTGTATCCGTTCATTCTCTACAGAAAATTGGAGTAAGTAGGCAGAAAGCTTTTGCACTTTTATGATGACCATTCCCTTTCAATTTCTCCAGTAAGACAAGAAATAGAGATATCTATATACATGAACAAACCTGTCAGCGTGTACATAGATGGCCGCTACAATGCATTTAAAATAGTAAACTGCTTATAGATATTTGGAAAACATCTGCTGACATATTTGACAAGACACATTTCCAAAATGCCAGCAGACAATAAATATTGTGACTCTTTGTGGGTGTTATGCCTACATACAGTAAATACAGGTGATTGGCTAATGTCTGGCATCTGTATTACATAGAGCGTCATTGTTCCTATCACAGACTTACCTTCTCAAAGTGTTAATGGACTGAATTCCCATCATCCTTCACAGCTAGTGATAAAATGATTGGGCATCTTTTTGCCCAATTTAATATATGCTACTTTTATATTTCTACAAGATACTGTACTCACAATGAAAACATTATGTCATTTTAATATTGCTTTTTCTATTTTAATTTTAAAGCTGTTTTTTATGATTTGTCTAATATATATTCCAGATTCCAGTCTGGTGTAAAGTGCTAAGGATGTAGCAATCAGCTGAAAAATTATAATTTTCGCTGGAAAAGATACAGTTTTGAATTGAAATATATAATTGAAATGAAGTACAATAATTAAAACTTTTGTAAAGCTATTCTAAAGCTATCGATTATCCAATTACATTGTAACTGAGTGCAATGATTTCAATGCTTATCGTTAATTTGTTCCTGTTGTGCTTCTGTTGCATAATGATTGTGTTGTGTGCTGTATACTGTCCACGAGCTGTCATTGTCTTGTCAATATGACTGATAAAGCATTATCTTTTCATCACTCTACTGTAAATTATTGCCTTAGGCCAGCTTGCACGGAGAAACCTTGTACTTGTTATTCATGCACTTCACAATATGTTGCTCGGAATTATCATGATTTCTTGATTGCTTCCACAGCGTGGACTGTCTGGGCCACCAGGTCCACCAGGTCCTCAAGGGCCTCCTGGACCTCCTGGAATGCCTGGAGCAGAAGTTACCCATGAGGTCTTGCTGCAAGAGTTCAAACAAATGTTAAAAGGTAGGTAATGGAATTTCTCTGAATAAAAATCTTGGGCCATGGAGACAGCTTCAGTTTTATCTTTATGTATGTGGTGAAAATCTGTAGATTCCATATCTGTTTTATTTACTACTCTCTAAAATATGTTAACAAAGTACAAAGAGCTTAATTTGGAGAATTCTGTGTTGCTGACCAGAAGCACAAACAAACATTTTACATCAGTTAAAATAAGAGAGGTCTATTTTTTTTAAGTATTCAGTTGCTGAAAATGATATGATTTTTCATGTACTAGATGATTACAATGTAGAGTTCAGAGTTCAAATGTTATACTTTTCCTCTAGAGGCTACAGAACGACGATTATCGGCAGGTGATATTCCAGAAGATGCCAGTGAGATCCCACCCGTAGTCCTTCCAGTCGAGGACCTCACACCATACAGACGGGTGGATGAAGCCTTCCATTGCAGACTGAAGGGACCAGTTATTGTGGACAAGAAGACATTGGTGGAGCTTCAGAACTTCCAGACGGTGAGAATATTGGAACTAATGTTGCAATACAACAACAAGACTGAAATATTTAATGAACGCTGTCAATGAATTCAATGATGAACAGTTTGTTATAAAGAACCAGTAACTGTCTGTAACACTTACAGGCCTCGATTTAAGTTTTGTTTTCCAAATTATTCCAAATGATTTATCTACAAAATATCTTTAATGAATTATTTGGAAAGTCTTCCTAACAGTATGGGATCAACTGGAAAGCTTATTAAATAAAGGCTATTATGGGATATAATTATTTGTAAAGTTCCAATGCACATTAGTCGATTGTGGCAATATACCCACAAGTTGCTGGGTTGTCACTGCCGAATAAATATCATCGATGCCTTGGTGTCTGTACCTGAGCAAATAATTTAATTACGGGACAGACACCTTGTCAACAAAAAAACACACAAGCTAGGTTTCCTGTCAAATGCAAAAATGTAATAAAGGGAGAATATGGCCACTAAAATCATAAAATATAACCTAGTGCTGTTTAAAACCACCTCAGTGTATAGTTACTTCATACACTCTACATCCAAATAAAATCCAAGATAGGAAATGTGATAGCGCAAACGCAGATTGTATTTTACCTTTTCAATAAATATTCACAGAAAGGTCCTTTTTGAAGTAATAACAATTCGTTGTAGACCCTGTTAATGGGAATAAAAAACATACCATAGTGTAAACCATTACAACTAAAATCAATTAGTAAGTAAAAATGGAACATTCACAATTATCAGAGCCTTAAAAGTTGGCTGCAAACTATAGAAGCATTTCATCCACGTTTAGGGATGGCTGGACCTGGTTGTTTCTCCCAAGATTGCAGGTGTGGCAGGTTTCCTGTGCCCACATCCCCACAATAGTGCCATCCCCAAGAAACTCTCTTCTGAGTGCCCACTCTGTCCAAAAAGCACTCGGAGCGAAAGTGTCTAGCCCGATTTAGATGGAAGGTGGCGTTTTTCAGCATGGTCTGATCAGGAGTTCCAAAGAGTTTTAGTTTCCCGGTCAAGCACACCGCGCCTCAACGAGTTGCCCAGCTGGCCTATGAGTACTCCTGGGCTGCAGAAAAGGGGTTCTGGGCTGGGAGGCATGGACTGGAGGGGGAGTAGTAAATAGTGGTGATTATAGTCTTTTTGGGAGCAAGGTTGTGGATGGGAGACACATACCTGTCCTAGGGTGACCAGGAAGTCTGTCACATCCATCCTTCTTTGTGACTGATATGTATCAAATGGGGCATCAGCTAAAAGAGTAAAGCAAGTGTAATGGATTTTATAGAGAACATAAATATATCATGTTGATTGTCAGGTTTATTCTATCCAAACATTTTGCCATACTGACATTGCAGCATGTAGCAACTGATTGTATGATTAACGCTGCCTTTATTCTACCCTAATTATATTAGAAATAGCAATATATATATGTAATACCCCTTATATAAATAAAAATATATATTTTTACACGTTAACCAAAGAAGCCAAACAACAAAACAATTATGTAAATTAGGTCAATCTAGCTTTAGGACATCTGTTTTAGCTGGATTGTGCCTTACAATTCTAAAGAGCTTCTGGACCAATTATTTGTTAAATTACCATATTACATTTTAAGTAAGCTTTACTGTGGTGTTCACCAAAGTGTGAATTATCAGATTCAAACTTAATTTAAAATTTTAAGCCAAAATAGGTGAATTGGAAAAATTCTCCAAGTGAGCTATATTTTCAGTTTAAATATTTTGACCTAGAATTTGCAATTCTCTTTGAGTTTCTGACAATCCACACTTCATTGAATGACTTTGCAAGATCTTTGTATGGTTGTTTTACTATTCAGAGAGTGCCTCTTTAATGGTGAAGTGGTTTTCAAATACAGACATATTTACCTAGTAGTAGAGGCTGAATAAAGACTCCAAACCATCAGATTCAGTCTTCTGCACTTCTCTCGCTGGTGGTGATCCAAAAGAGGGCAGGAAACTCAACATGAAGCTATGCAAGCAATAGAGAATGCACTAATTGCCTCCAAAAGACCAATAAGATTTCTGTAACAGTGATAAGACCCAAGACAAGACAAATGTTTTTCTACAATTTTTGTCTGTCTCGGAGTGAGTTTCCTTAGCATATCAGAGCTTGATTTACTTATGGCAAGTCAAGAAAGATGTTCTCCTATGGATATTTGTATCATAATGGCACAAGTAATTTAAAATATCTGTCAGATGTTCTCAAAGTAGAACGATTGCTTACATCATTGTTTTTCTTCGAACAAGGCGCTCGCCTTAAAATGTAGCTACTGTGCTGTAATTACTCTGTTGTGCAACACAATGTAAGATGAAACTCTACAGTGGCCTTGTTTTTCACTCGTCAAGGGAAACTTTAGAAAACATACCTAATATGAATAATCTCATTTAATTCTTCTGATATTTTTTCCCTTTGTTTTCCCGCATCCAGCCAACATCTAAAGGCTCTTTCTTGCGAGGTTCTGGATTGAATTTGGCAACAGGTCGCTTCACGGCTTCCGTACCTGGGATCTACCAGTTTTCTGCTCATGTCCATATCGGTGCGTGATGAACATTTTTAATATCATCTAGTGAAAAATGTGGGAAATGATGTAGCGTGACGCAAGCTGTAATCTCCTGTATGAGCAGGGAATGTTCAGTGAACAGTTTATCCATTGTTTGCATCCAGTGCCACCTTCAGTCAATCATCTCTCTATTTTAACCCCTTAATGACACAGCTTCAAAAGCTTGTCTTACCCTTAATGACACAAGCCATTTTTGCATTTTTTGCTGTTTGCGTTAAAACGCAATATGCATCTCTGTCATTAATTGCACCAACAAATATTATATACCGTTTTTTAGAGGGCAAAAAGGGCTTTAATTTGATGTGACATATATACATTCTCATTAATTATAAATAATATGCCAAACAATGGTAAAAATACTTTTTTTCACAGTTTTGACAATAATAGCGTGTGCATTATATGTCCAGCTTATGAAAAGTAATAAATAAATAAAATTAATTTATGTGTCTTGCTCTATAGACTACATAATATGTGTAGGATTTCAGCTTATTTTGAAAGTTACAGGACACAAAATACAAGGACTAAAATAAAATTTCAATGTGAAACTATTTGAAAAGTTGGTATGTTTGTCTTGTAGGTTTAGTAGCCATTACAGAAAACAAAATCGCAACAGAAAAGTATATATTTATACAAAGTAGATATCACAGGCTATTTACCTAAGGCTATTTTTACACTTTTTACATAGCTATTTCATTGCCAATCTCTTTTAAATATTGGAGTAAAATTGTGGGCTTTTTTCTATTTTGGCGTATACACATATAATAAGTGTATTTCGTAAAGCTGGTATGTGCTATTCCTGCACAGAACCCCATATTGTGTTCAGCTACATCTACTGAGTATAATGATAACCCCATTGTATGCCTTTGGCACTATTCTGTGAAGCTACAATGCCATATAAGAGACAAGGCTATTTCAGTTTCTAAAGTTAGAATATTCATAGATGGATTTGACGGGCCTATGTCTCATTTTGGGGTATTATAGCAGTTTGACTGTTCGAATAACCCCACAAAGGGCTTCCATTTGATAAAGCTGAAACCCCAGGGTATCTTATATGGTGTATATTGTGCCTTAACCTGTCACAAGTTATCACCAATTTATGCCAATGTTTGTGGTGAGGGGAAAAAAATGGCATTTTTACATACATGTTGCATTTTTGAGTATTTCTTACACTGGATTTGTGCCACTGTCATAAAATCCCCCAAATTGTGCTCAGTTACAACTTATGAGTAAAACAATATGCCCAATGTATGACATAGACACTATTTTGTGAAGTTACAGTGCTGTAAAAGAGACCTGACATAGGTTTTTAAGTGTGAATTTTCACAGAGGGTTTTGATGCGTCCGTGTCCCGCTTTGGAGCACTTTAGCAGGCTACATATTCCAACTACACCATAAAGGCATACCATTTCTTAAATAAGACATCCCACTGTATTTCAAAAGGCATATTTTGAACCTAAGCGTGGGATCATTTTTCCACTAGCTTGTACCAAGTGTAGTGATAATAAGCATTTTTTCTGCCTTTTTGACACACAAAGTGAGTTTGCACAGGATATTTTGTATAATAGTTGATAAGATGCTCAGCTATGTCGTCTGAGTACAACATTACAAACAATACCCCCGTATGTACCTTTGCCAGGTACATGTGGATGTTGAAGGGGCACATTTGAGACGCAGCCATTCAGTTTTTTTTCTAACTTTGAAGTTTTATGCTGTGTCCATGTTCCATCTTGGAGTAGTTTAGCTGGTTGATTATTCAAACAACCCCACAAACGCATACCATTTTTTATAGAATACACCTTGAGGTATTTCAAAATGCATGTTTTGAACCTTAGCGTTGGATAATGTTTTTGCTAGTTTTTTCCAGGTGTAGTGGTAATGAGCAATGTTTAATCTATTTCTTTACTCTTTTAAACGTTTTTTACTTTTTAAAACTTGTTTTTAAACTTTTTTATACTTATTAAATTTTTCACACTTTTCAAAACTTTCTTAAAACATTTTACACTTTAAAATTATTTTTACTGTTAACCTCTAACTAGCACTAAGCAGCACTAACAGTAAATTACCCAATTTCCAATAACTCCCACCCATCCCAGCTAGCAAAATATATAATTTTAAAATATTTAAATGTATTAATGAAATTAGTTGAACCCCTGAGGGTTAAAAAAATAAAAGTTAACCCTCCGGGTAAAATAAATAAAATCAGATCACAGTATAATACTGTGATCTGTATTTTGATCACTGTAGGCAGTGATCAACCAGCAGGGAAGGGGTTAATTTTTATTAGGACTGGGTAAATGGGGTGGGATTTTTTGTACCTTTTTAAAACGGTATTAAATAATTATTTTAAAACTTTTTTTAACTTTTTAAAGCTTTTTAAAAAAAACTTTTTTAACGTTAACCCCTAGCTAGCCTAACACCATATTCCCCAGTAACCTCCACCCCCCACAGCTAGCTAAATTTATAATTTTAAAATATTTAATTAATTAATAAAATACATTTAGCCCCTGTGGCTTAAAAAAAGTTAACCCTAAGGGGGTAAAAAAAAAATCAGATCACAGTAAAATGTAGTCCCAGCCAATTGATCACTGTAGTCAGTGATCAATTGGCAGGGAAGGGGTTAATTTTTATTTTAAATGGGTAAAGGGGGGTGGGATTTCACTTTAACTTTATTTTTATTTTTTTACAGGGAGAAGATCACTGCTGATCCATCTCCCTGCACTTCACACTGAATGCAGGGAGCCGGATCGGGAGTCCCTGCAGCACATGTGCTCGCTCTGACAGCAGGGACAGTGCAATCGGGTGCTCCCGGCCTGCCTCAGAGGAGGAGCGTTAACCCCGCGATCACCGTAATTGTGATGATCTGGGGTTAACTTTGGTAAATGACTGAAATTTTCGGACATGCGTCCTTACTGGTAGGACAAGCATGATGGAAAATTTCCGTCTAGCGTCGCGAAGGGGTTAAATGGGCACGCCAGACTATTACTAATGCAAAAGACAGACAATTTTTTAAAACATATATGCAAACTAAATGCTAAAAAACATACAAAAACCTCACTTTCTTACTCTCGGTGCAATCCCCAGACATGACATTATTAGTAAGAGAAAGGGATAGTCTGAAATTTCCAATAAAAGGATATTCAGACTAAAATAAAGAGGGAGTACGAAAAATAAATTAAAATGAGGGAAGCAGCTCTAATATTGGAAAAAAGGATTACCAGTCCTTATAAGAAATAAGTAAAAGCACAATCACTATAATACTTTATTATTTATTTATTATTTAAAGCAGTATTTCCTTTGTGGACACTATATTTATATGACGTTTATTAGCTCCTGGATATATTTCATTATAGTATTTAAGTGATTGTGTTTTTATCTATTACATTATCAGTGTTTAGCTCTCGGAACTTCTTATTCTAGACTAAAGAATCTGAAGTATTGGACATGTTTAACCTAGCATTGCAAGGCTTAAAGTGCAAATGGGATAATGACTGTTTAATGCTCTTACCAAGGACTAGAAATGTGACAATCACTACTCTACACATGGTAATCAATGTCTCTCTACATAGTATGTGGGAGGATAGCGCTGACCAAAAGATTTGAAAGCTCTCTGTGCACAGCCTCAGCTAAGCTAAGAGCAGGGCTTTCTAGGAATTGTGTAAGATGCTAGTGAACTACAACTAAGAAACCGATGCATAACTATGTTATTGGAGAAACACAGCTTGTTACAGGACAAACATGTATTTCTGACACTATAGTGGTTAATAGACTATTTAGATCACCAGCCCTCTCTCTTTACCTAAATAGGTGATTTTAATCACCCTTTTTCCAGCGCCGCGCCGGTCTCGTCGCGGCTGGCGCCTCCTTGAACCTCCTCTGTGGCTGAGATCATCAAATTTGCCAGTCCACTGCTTTCCCATTGTGCGCTGCAGAACGCAACAATGTGCCAATCAGCATCTCCTCACAGACATGAATTGAAGCAATGTTCCATGCAGAGCGTGGAGACAATGAACACCAGTGCTGCACACTGCAGCACTGACCCAGGAAGCACCTCTAGTGGTCGTCTGAGTGACTGCCACTAGAGGTGTTAATACTTAGTAATGTAAATACTGCCTGTTCCTTGAAAAGGCAGTTTTTACATTAAAACGCCTTCAAGGACAGGCTAGTAAAAACCAGAACAGCAACATTAAGCTGTAGTTGTTCTGGTGATTATGGTAAGAAACTGAAATGGTGAGCTTTGGAACTGTGATCTATATTATTTAATTAGGTGTGCTTTAATGATTGTTGATGGAGCTTTGGAACTGTGACATTATTTAACCAGCTAGACGGAAGCACTTTAGAATGTGGTGGGTGGTACCTAGATCTGGTTAAAGTTGTAGAATGGTGCAAAATATTTTTTTGCGAAAACAAGATAGAATAAGAATGCAAAATAAAAACAGCCAATTCAAGGCAAATAACTGAGTACCAATTAAATGAATGATATAGGACAGTTAATGATGAGATAAAACTATTAAAGTATTTAATTGGGGATGGTATGTTCACCTTGTTGCTAGTTTCCCAGAATGCCCTGTGATATTTATGTTATTATTAACCAGATTAATGGTACTCATATGAGCAACATTGGAAGGTTGAAGTGATAAACTTACATACCCAGGAATCAAACCTGTAGACCAATATTTGGTACTTTTTCTGCACCTATCCAAAGAATTGCACGATAAAGGATACTGTATAATAATGTATTGCCAATCTCTGCAAGGGACTAGAAAACTAAAAAAATAAACAAACAAACAAAAAACTTTGCGTGATGACATCACTCTATTTTTCTTACGCGTCTCTAAACAGCAATGTATACTCTAGATCAGGACTTAAAATTTCAAGTGCTAAACTATTAGCAAGGCCATAAAAGTGACTCGCCACTGCAAGCCTTGATGGTCCATGGCACATTATGTAGTGCAGGGGTTAAATGGAAAGCATATGAGCATGTGTTTTGTGTTTACTATTTATTAAGATTATCTCTCTTAGGTCAAATATACTGAAATCTCAAACAAGATCATGAAGATAAATTTCTCCTCTTTAACATACTTGGAAATAAGTAAATAGATAATTCCTCTCAGATGCTTTAATTCATAAGACTAATAATAACAAGCACTACTTAAGACATATGTTCCGTCCGTAGGCAAGCAAGGTCACAATTAGATTAATAAAAGCATGTCATAACACTATTAGTTTGCTGAGTGGAATCTTCGTCTGTTCATTCAGGACATGCTAAAAGGGAATTTTACATGCACTATAGCAATAATACATTTTTAAAGGAACACTTTAAATTTAGATATTTTGTATTCTGCTTTGATTCAAACATGTGGTGGACCAAGGTGCGATGAGATCCCTCTAACCAGAAAAATGTAGTCTTTGCTCTGACAGGAGATTACAGCTGTTTTCATTTTTTTTGTTTCTGTTGTTTTTTACTTGTTTTAGATATATGCTAGTGATATACCTGTATACGCACCAAAGTCAATAATGCAAAGAAAAACTGTGATTCTTTGTCCGCTTGATGCATAATATACCTGTACCTTCCTTGAATCTCTTAATAAAAAGAGAATTACAAAAAGAAAATCAGTAGTAGAACCCAATACTTCATCTTTGCAATATTTTGTAATATGTACAATTGTTTATTTTATTATTAGATCATAGTGAGATGAAGAGCAAAGGGCAACTGCGACCTCGAGATAATGTGCGTGTTTTGATATGCATTGAGTCCCTGTGTCACCGATACACGTGAGTTTTCATATTAAAACATTGTTTCACTTTCACATGAATATCATCTTTTTTAATACAACCACAAGCTGGAGAGGGTCAGCCATTTTTGACCGTGAGAGCATGTACAAACAAATGGCCTAACTGTGCACATAAAACGTACAGATCTCTGTCCTGATGGATGGTCCTTCCTATGTTGACCATGTGATATATGGGTTTGACTGACGGATGATGCTGGAGTTTCAAAATGTGTTTCAATATTTCTACAAGCTTGATAGAAACAGAAACATAGAATGTGACGGCAAATAAGAACCATTCAGCCCATCTAGTCTGCCCAATTTTCTAAATACTTTCATTAGTCCCTAGCCTTATCTTATAGCTATGATAGCCTTATGCCCATCCCACGCATGATTAAAATCCTTCACTGTGTTAACCTCTACCACTTCAGCTGGAATCTGCCTACCCTCTCAGTAAAGTAATACTTCCTGATATTATTTTTAAACTTTTGCCCCTTTAATGTAAGACTATGTCCTCTTGTTGTGGTAGTTTTTCTTCTTTTAAATATAGTCTCCTCCTTTACTGTGTTGATTCCCTTTATATATTTAAATGTTTCTATCATATCCCCCCTGTCTCGTCTTTCCTCCAAGCTATACATGTTAAGATCCTTTAACCTTTCCTGGTAAGTTTTATCCCGCAATCCATGAACCAGTTTAGTAGCCCTTCTCTGAACCCTCTCTAAGGTATCAATATCCTTCTGAAGATACGGTCTCCAGTACTGTGTACAATACTCCAAGTGAGGTCTCACCAGTGTTCTGTACAATGGCATGAGCACTTCCCTCTTTCTACTGCTAATACCTCTCCCTATACAAACAAGCATTCTGCTAGCATTTCCTGCTGCTCTATTACATTGTCTGCCTACCTTTAAGTCATCAGAAATAATTACCCCTAAATCCCTTTCCTCAGATGTTGAGGTTAGTACTCTATCAAATATTCTGAACTCTGCCCTTGGGTTTTTACGTCCAAGATGCATTATTTGTTTCCCAAGAACCTCTCTATGCTAGTGTCCACGAGGGCAAATGCTGCCCTGACTAACTTATCTGCCCCTTATAAAAATAAATTCACATACAAAATTAAGCTTTATGAAATGATGAACCTGTCAAAATGTTGTGGCAGGTAACAAGGTTTACTAATAATATATCAGGTGGAGCAGTCAGTGTCGGTGTCAAAACAAGGACATCATGATCGTATAACACTAAGTTACCGTCTTAATTGTTCGGCTCTAAATGCAGCCGAACAACTGAGTAACATTGGTGGATTTGAACTATGGTGACTCCCTGGCATAACTATTTTAAATCCTCCTCTATAAACTCCCACTCCCAGTCAAACAGAATTGAAATTGACATCAGAGCAGGTAGACAACACTATCTACAGAACGTATTATTCTTCTATATCAATGAGCAAGTTTGCTGTATCAGTGAGTGATGTACTGGGGTCTATGGACGCCGACCATGCCTGTAGCCTAATGCAACGTTTGGCCTTTAGCTGAGTGATTTGGTCAGTGCATGCATTGTAGGACACACATTTCCTGCCAAAAGGACACCCACATGTGTAGCAAGAATTTAAATCATTCAAATTTCCCACTTCAATTCCAGAAAGGCAATATATTTTTAGACCAAACCATTGCAGGCATAACTGAAACTTGGCTTCACCCCATCCTTTCGTAATTTTGGCATGACTTTATTAACCATTTTATAGTCGATTATTTGTGACTTGTAGGAAAAATGTACCCAGTTAGTAGATCTAATGAAGCTGGGTATTCTTAGTGATATCTGTGAGATAGACAGAAAGCATCTTTAAAAAAATTTAACAACTGTTTTCTATAGCCAAGTAAATGGGATTTATTGTCACTGTTGTACTGCACAGAAATTATGCTCTGTGTTGGTATTTGCCGGGTATTGCATTAATTGAGATATTCACATGTTTTGTAATCCCACCCTCCCGAAAAGAATTAAAATAATTAAATTAAAGATCCCATAGGAGCCACTGTGATTAATTTCTTTAATTCCAGTTTGTGATTGGTTTTGCATGCTCATAAGCTCATGTCTTGCGCTGGTCCTCAGTTTGGGAGAAATTTTTGTTAACGAAAATATAGCACAGGAACACAGATAGAAGTGTTTCAAGCTAAATAGTCAGAGGTAGTAGGAAAAGACGGAAAATAGGTAAGATATAGTGAGAGAAATAGCTCTAAAACTGGAAGGAGTGTCACCAATCCTCTAAACATACATAAGAAAGAAAAAATATCACTTACTTAATAAAGTAAATAATCCAGGAGTTACAATAAAGTCACATAATCACCCAGGGCATACTTGAAAATGAGAGAAATCTCAATGTATCCTTCCTAGTAAAATATTTTATGAATTAATAAATATAGCTAATAACCAGTGATGTACATAGAATGCAAAACTAAAATGCAAAGTCCAATTATAAATAGTAAATCCACAATATGGCACAAAACTTATTTGAAGACTGGATATAAATGTAAACAATTATTTTAGTTAACGACTATTAAATTGTACCTCTGGAAATCCTAGTTTCACTGAAAACTGAATTATTTCAGTGGGTTGTCTATAAACATAAAATTACACATTTATTTGTGCATGTCCAAAGGGTCCACCATGGGGCCATAATTTGATGATATTTAATGTTATTCTGTATGTCTAAGTTACACCGGTATATTATTATCAATGAGTTGGAAACAAAATTGAAAACTTGTATTACAGTAAATCTGCATATGTCTGTTATCACAAGATAAAGTATTTAATTATAGCCTGTATTTTCTTTATATCCTTACAGTATATATATATATATCTTCATATCCTTACAGTATATATATATCCCATTTAGGAGTTGTTATAATAATACTCCCCTCCTTTCCAGCATAACAGAGGGATCTCGGTCTCTCCTCCTACTTAATTGCCAGCACACCAGTGTCATTACATTGATATGTACTCCTTTCCTATTAATCTCTAGAGTGAGGCATGCTTGCCAGAGGAGTAATTACAGCCACTACAGTCCATAGTTTATGTGATTGAAAGCAATAGGACAACCTGTTGGAGGGTTCTCCTGCTTACTGCTCAGTCAGTTGTCACCATAGAGAGTTAGGTTATCAACATTGTCCTGTATGCAAAGAATTGATTGACTGGTGGGGAATGACCACATTTTTAAGTTTATTGACTCAAACATTCTAAACTATTAATGTATTTTTTTTTTCAAAATAACAAAATACCAATTTTTGCTCAACGATGGACAGATGTATTTAATTAGGCACTCAATATTCATACACTTTATCTTACCACACAAATATAAAACACAATTGTGTTACGGATACAATTAAAAGGTGAGTATTATATTATAAAACAAATCTGAGTGGAAATGATCAAAAAAGGAACATACCAATAGAATAAATAAAATAAAATACAACAGGAATCTATAATAGCTGTGTGTTAACTCTTCACAATCTAGAATTAGCTTTAAGATGTAGAATAAAAATATACACAGTGTAAAACCATTACATGAATATAAAATGTTTAAAATATACATGCAAAGAGCGCTGAGGATTAGACAGCGCAAAAAGCATATTCTAATCCTCTGGACACACTCTGGTAATCTGTATCAAAGTCCCTTACACGAGGCCGACTATAGGTCCGGACCCCGACCTATAGTCGGCCTTGGGTAAGGGATTTTGATACAGATCGCCAGAGTGTGTGCAGAGGACTTTAATATATCTTCTCATTGAGTGTTGGGGAGAAGATATCTATCACGGTCTTTGATCATAAACTTTGGGTAATAAAGTGCAATGCTCTGGTCCAACCTGTTTTGTCTAAGTAGGTTTACACCAGATAACGAAGCAAGTAAAAAAATGTATATATTTAAAAGTGGGAGTAAGGATGTAAATAATGGACAAGAAAGACAAACTGTCCATCCATTAAGGCGTACCTAGGTGCTCCAATGTTCAAAATACTTTACTGGATAATTTACGGTATTCAGTAGTCTGGGAGTTTAAGAAAAAACAAAATATGCGAAGATTGAAACAATTTATAACTTTTTAACATATTGCTGAAATATCACATTCGCTTCTTCTTTTTTTTTTTTTTACAAAAGCCCATTTAGAGTGAAATTGGAGCAATTGCTTTCAATCTTGTGAAAATATATACCTTTTTCCATAATCAAGACTCAATTATCATCCATACGTTTTGCTGAAAATATGAATTGACATCTGCATAAGCTCTCTTCATTCCTACTTGGCAGTCGCTTGGTTAATGGGTACACTAAGTGGCCCATTCTATCATTTTTATTATTTGCAGAACTGTAACGTATCATAAAGGTTGAGAATAATTATAGGAAAGTGAATTTACAGGAAGGGCTGAAAAAATGAAAAACACCACCAAGTGCCAAATGTCTTTTCAACATATCACCGTATTTACATTCCCAAATCACCCCCTCAGGCCTTGCCCCTCCTCCTGTTCCTTGGCAGGTACACCAAGACAAAATCAGGTTTTGCACTTGTAGCACTTCAGTCTTGCTGTCGTCAGTCTGATCTCATTCATTAAAAATGTTCCAGTCACATACACCTCTGCCCACCAGCCTTGGCACCGATTATTTCCCAGCAAAATCTGTTCACTGCATCATTTTCCAGTAATCTGTCTCTTTTATTATTCGGATGGGTCCAACTGATACTGGGACAGAAGAGCGTGGAATTTGTTAAGCAATTTTTCATCTTTTGAAAGCATGACTTTCTGGAACCAGCATTGTATTTACAAATTTGGAAGGCAATGTTTGGGCAAGCCATCTAAATGGTTAGACCAAGGATGAAGAAGCAGGCACCCAGTACCCCCAGCTTTTTGAACTTTTAGATGATTGATTGTGATGAGAGTTGCAGTGTGAGAATAAGTCTGTCCTGTCTGCACTCTTCCCAACTGGCACCTACAGAGACCCACTCCCGAATTTTTCTGATCCCAACCTCCTCTGCCACGGTATCAAGTGCAAAGACAAAAACCCTTGTAAAGTTAAGACGAGGACAGTGAATGTACTTACAGAATACTTTTAATTTTGACTCCCAAGTGCCACCTGTGCAGAACCATCATTATAGCTTACCTGCTGAAAACAGTTAGTAATTCGCTAATGTGTGACATGTCTTAAAAGTTCTGAAAATGACAATTGTTATTTTGGGACTGTTCCCTTATAGCGATGTGATTACTATCCACCCCTATTTGTTCTGTAAAATAATGATTACTCATCTTGTGTCCAGGGCCAGGACTTATCCGCTGCAGGTTTCAGTTCCTCATACAATGAGGTCAGCATCCAAGCTGATATAACTCACAATCTCCTCCATTCCATTGCTTATCATAGAGAAGCAGTAGATTGGAATTAAGCATGCGAGGCCAGACGCCAAGCTCCTCTAATCAAACTGTGCTATCAGCAACATTGATTCCAGGACCAAGATTAATCTCTGGAGGAAGAAGTGCGTCTAGTGGTTGTCAGAAAGACTGCCACAAGAGGTGTATTTAACCATGTTTCTACAAAAGTGCAATATTTTACATTACAGGACCACTGCACCCATACCACTTTATTGAGTCTTTAGTGGTCCTATAAAACCAACGTGAATTTCAAATTTTAGGCAGCAGCTGCCAAATTGTCCATGTTTTGGCCTATTGAAATTCAGAGCATCCCTTTTGGCAGGCTCTCTCCCTGCTCTGAGTCTATACCACTTAATGTCAGGAGGTATGTATACCTGATTTGGAGTCTTTTCTTCCAATCAAATGCCTCCCAAGTGTTGGGTGCAATCCATCTGTCCCACTTTTCTGTCTTAATGTCCCACTTTTATATTGGCTTAGTTCTCTTGGGGTTGTGAATTTATATCAGAGACCCACAGCTCTAATACTCACAGTAATGTGTCTTTGAACTGCAACAAATGTATTTGGAAATTAATCTGTTTAAATAAGATTCATTGGTCTTATTCTAAATTACATTTCTGATCGCATAAATTGTTATTAATATGTTACCTAAAACCTTTTCAGAACAGCACAGCTACTGGCTATACCTCACTCAAACCCCAAAAATGAAAGTGTTCCTCTGTCAATTTGGAATATGAGGACGTATGCAAATAAGCTGTCTGCTTACATTTTTGAAATGCGGTTTTCAATTCACTACAGTAATGAATAAATTGCCTTTTTTAAGACCTCAATTTAATATTTTTGGATGAGCTTTTACATTTTTTTTCAATGTTTTATTTTTGTAGTACAGGCACATACTAACATGTCACCTTGAGACAAAGTGGATTTCATGTGGACCTAGATACACATGTTAAAAGACTTGCACAAAGCCTTCACCTCTGATGAAGGTTTTGTGCCGAAACGCGTCAGGTGGATCCTGAGGACATTTTGGGACTTATTTTATATTCATATGGGACTTTCCTCATTTTTTATTATTTTTGTAGTTGCATAGTGTTTATTAAAGTTTATGTTCAACCTTTTATTTGTTTTCCTGGTTTGTGCAACTTTGGGAAGATACCCACTACAACTTGTGTTCCAGTCCTTAGGAAGATTTCTGTTCAAGGCGATCATCTTGAGCCAGCTCCTAATTGGCTCTTCGTATGTGAGTGCAATTTATCCACTACGTCACTTTAATTTATTTGACGTTATTACCCTATGTTGTATTTTTCTGCTTTTCTTTCAGAAATTTATTAACCAATGGGTAAAATAATTTTATTGTAATTTTATTTGAGTGCTCTCACCATTTCTTTTATTTTCACTTAAGTCTATTGTAGTGGTTATTGTGGCCCACTAAGGTGATTGTAGCACCAGTGTTTATTCATTTATTTTTTTCACCGTGTGTTTTATTGTTCACATACCTCTCACCTCCCAATGTTTTCCTACGGGAAAGCATTGGATTGGCTGAGATGATCAACATGAGGCGGAGCTTCATCGAGGAAACCAGCGCTGTGAGGGAGTAAACGTAAGCAAAACACCTCGTTTAAACCTGGCAGAGCTGGTCCCGGTCACCGAAACTGTGACTATGCACTATAGCGTTAGAAATACAAATATGTATTAATAACACTATAGTGTTCCTTTAAGGAAGTAGGCATTATAATTCAACAACATCTGGATATATAGCTTTTGGCCACTATCAGCACATTTGTTACCATGGCTCCTATAAATACTTACTATAGCTACTCATTTTTATATATAATTTCTCTTCGAAAAAGATGCTTTACATAATAAGCATGAATGGGAAATGACATATAAGAGTGCCAGAAAGTAAATATAGAAGATACCAAACACCTCATTTTCCCCACCTGATGTTATCCAGGACTGTAGAAGAATGATATTATATTTTGTAATGAGTTTGGAATGTGGAAGTGTGACTGTAACATCTACCAAAGAATGTAATGACTAAAAACCTCTGTCATCTGATACGCATAGAATACAATGAATGTCCCTGCAGGAGGGCAGTATCTTGGCAGTGATCTGTATTATTTTGACTCTGCGACACAGTGCCATGGTGTGAATTGTACTTGTCTAACAGTCTTATCAAAAGTTCAGCAATAAAACAAATTAAAGACAAAGACATGACCTCATTAAACTGTGTTCTATGGCTTGCTAGTAGCACATTAGCAATAATTTGGTTTGTTTACTTAAAGGAACACTAAATGTGTATTCCTCACACTATAGGGCCCTTGTAGCCATTTAGGTCACCGGCCCTCACCTGTAAGGAGTAAAAAAGTTTTTGTTTACTTACCTTTTCTCCCTTGTAGCACTGGTCTCTGCGTTGCTTATCCGTCTCCTTGACTGAGATCATCAAGGTCAATAATCTCAGCCAATCCAATGCTTTTCTATAAGAAAGCATTGGGAGGCTAGTGCTCATTTTACTCGGCTATTTCTCCAGAAGTGCCTTTAGTGACAGTCTGGATGACAGCCTATAAAGACATGTAAACCGTGGAAATGGAAACACTGACTTTCTGCAGTACAGCAATGTTTTCACTTGCAGGGTTAAAATGGGGCGGGGAGGCGTGGTTTGGGCTCTAACCAAGATAGCCGCATAACCTGGGCACTCCGCTCCACCGGTCCCCTAATCAGCACTTTATACCCAGCCACCTACGTTAATGGGACGTACCAAGCGTTCAGAACCCCTGCAGACCCCAAGGAGCTCGCAAACGGAGCACCAAATAGGCCCCATGGATGGCTATCTTCAATCCCAGCTGGGCACGAGTGGAGAGGTCGGAAGTCCCCAAATTGCGCCATCCTCCACAGCCTCGATAGTAGGATCGGAATCCTATGCCTTAGACTGTATCGTAGAGTAACTGAAGAATATGGCAGCTTCCATAGTGACCAAAGCTAACCTACTTACCCTCACTACCATCAAGGACATGCTGAGAACGGAGATGGCGGGCTTCTGGACAAAGGTGGCTGCGCAGGGAGACCGCATTCAGGCATTGGAGCAGTCAGCCGAGGCCAAATCCACAAAGTCTGCAGGAAACCAACACAGCGGTATCCAGACAGGGGGAAATAATCCTTGCTATGAGGAGATCCCTGGAAGACCTGGACAACAGGGGCCGTCGATGAAACATTCGGGTCCGTGGGATACTGGAAGCTGAAGGGGAGGAAAATGTTGAGGAGGTGCTCACTGGCCGCTTAGAATATGAGAGGGCCCATAGAGCCTTATGACCGCACTTTATAGAAGAGGGGCCGAGAGAATTGATATGTTGCCTTCATTCCTTTCCAGGGAAGGAGGCTATTATGAAAAAAGCCCGCAACAGGCCAACATGGAATTACCGAGGCGCCCAGGTATCCTTATTCAACGATCTATCCCCATCACGCTGGAAGCCAGATGGGCTCTATGGCCGGTGACGTCGGCACTAAGAGAATGCAACATTGCCAATCGATAGGGATTCCCCTTCGCATTACTTGCACGCGGTCGGAATGGATGGGCCTCTATTCGCTGGCCTGAAGAGGTGCTGCAGTTCCTGGAGGAGCTGGGCCTGCTACCTGTGACAGTCACCAACTAGGTCCTGGCGCCCTTGGGGTTGAGGCCCTGACCCAGGAAACCGGAGGTATGAGTTTGTGTGCTGGCTCCCGTGGGCCTGGGGTTACCTCTGCTCAGTGGGAATTATCCATTCCCTCTGACGCCTTACCATTAGGTAACCACCCTACCAGGATCTAGTCAGAGGAAGCCGTTGGACGTGAGCTACAAATAATATAGTGTCACCACCTGATGTGATCCCCATTAGGGCAGTATTGGGTGGGGGGAAAAGCATACGGGGGTCTGCAAATCTATACCTCCTTCTATTGCGGGCTTTGGGCAGGGAATTATCTGGGATGTCTGTCTATTAGCCGAGAGAAAGGAAAGGGAGGTCTGCATGCAGACACGGTCAGGCCGCTGTTACCTCCCTAACCGGCTACTCCGCAAATGAGGAAAAGGGTATGGAGGCTATTTAAGCCTAAGACTGGTAGGGATCGATGGGACCAATGGAAGAAAAGAGATACAACATGGGTCCTATACACCGCTCCGCTACCTTGAGCTCGATAGCCCCACCCCAAGGCCTCCGGCATATAACTCTTATTACTGGACTCCTTTCCCTTTTCAACTTATATAGTTTGCTAAAGCGTGTACAATTGTGTGTACAATTATGTGTTGATTTCTGTGTTGACTTATGATTTAATTTATGAGCGCATTAAGGCAACATAACGTGACATAACGCGACTTGCTGGAGACACACAAAGGGAGGGGGAGGGGGGAAGAAAGAAGAGGGAAGGAAGAGGGGGGAGGGACAAAAAAAGGGAGGGGAAAAGAAACATGTGGAGGAGGGAAGGAATTGGGAAGGAGGTGGGAGGGAAGAGGCGATTCGTTGAAATATTATACCTAATGCTAAATGTGGAGCCTTGGGTGGATGGCGTAGAGTGCATGGTATGTGAGGTCAGTCCAACAGGGTGTGTAGAGCAGGGGTACATATTGCCCTGGCTGGGAAACACTAGGATTGGGGGGGGTAGGAAAGGAACTTTCTCGTGTTAAACTATGACTGCTCAATTATTGCTGACAAACTCTCAGGGTATATAAATTGTTGCTATGTGCTGTAACTGATGTAATGGAAATGCATCACGGGAGCACATGGTGAAGTGGTCCTGACATGTACTACACTTGTTGTAATACCCTTTGGTGGAGACTGGGCTTCTTTACTCAACCCATACTCGTGCAGATTTTCCTACTCTGGGCTTGGTACCGGTGCGGGCTCCTAGTGATTCCCGTTGTAGCACGAGTCCCCTCCCTTAATGGGGGGAAGATACGGGACATCTCTTGCTCCGCTGGGGGTGTCCCTTAAGGGGAGTCCTCCTTTTTTCTACAAACTATTTTCCTTCTTTCCACTACTCTCTACCTATCTTATTAGGAGACATCCTATTCATTCCCTGCTCCTCTGGGTGTTCTCGTCTCTCAGTATATAGGGGAAGGGGCCCAGGTTTTCCAACATATTCTCCCACTAATCTGCTAGCCTTTTCCACTTTTACATTCCTTAATTCTCTCCTCTGTCCTGTGTTGTTCCTGTCTTTCTTCCTCTCCTCATTTCTTATGCTGACTCGGGAGGTCGGATCCCTCGGGGTTACTGAAACAGAGCAAAGAGTGCTTAGGAGGTTGGCGACGTGCCTCCTGCATGGGTTGGGCCTAGCTCGGGGCTTAACTTGGCTTACCGCCGCGCTCTTCTGAATATCCTCACTCTTAACTGTAGGGGATTGAATATCAGAGAACGCAGAACACATCTGTAAAGGGAACTGAAGAAATAACATGTATCGGTAACTTTGCATCAGGAAACGCATTTTATGGAAGGTGCGGCGCCAAAATAGACACTACCCGGTTAACTTCTTTAGCAACTACCTATCGGCCCGTAAAGTTGGAATTGCAATCATAGTTGCCCCCAACCTGGAATTCCAGGAACTAGACTGCTTACTCGACTCGCACGGACGTTTCCTATTTCTGAAGGGCACCATCGCCGACAAACTATACACCTTCGCATCAATATATGTCCCAACTGCAGACAGGCACACTTTATTAGGAATACGTTGGCTAAACTATGAGACTTCTCAGAGGGCGCTCTAATAGTGGGAGGGGACTTTAATGCTCCCCTAGACCTGCTGCTTGACTCATCCACAGGACATACTTGCATCCCCCAATGGTGCATTCGTTCCATCTGCAGAACATAGGGAAACATGGGACTGGTGGACTGTTGGAGGACACTTTACCCTACCGTCAAGGAATTCACGCATTACTCTGCTCTTCATGACCGTTATTCTCGCATTGACTATCTCTTTATTAAACAAGAAGGTCTCTCTCAGCTCTTAAGAGCCACTATTGGACGCACCACCTGGTCGGATCATGGGCCGGTCGGCATAGAACTCGAATACCCTTTATCCCGACCCTCAACTTGGACGTGGCAGCTCAATGAGGCCCTCTTGTTGGATCCCGAAGTGCAGGAGCAAGTCTCCCAAGCATTGGATCTTTATTTCCAGGAAACGGTCGGGGAAAATGTAACCGATATCGATCTAGGAAGCCTACAAGAGCGTCATCCGAAGCACACTTATTTGGATTGCCACACACACAAAAGAGCGGCCCTACAGGAGATGGCTGACCTTTACAAATTTATACTGATTTTGGAACTCCAGCATAAACGAACCCACTTCATGGAAGTATACGGAGAACTGATGCAAGCCATGTGACAGCTGAAGGAACTGCTTGCGCACAGATATTTTCGATCTATACAATGCTCCAAGGGCTTCTTTTGCTCCTATGTGAACAAAGGAGACAAATATCTCACCCATCTTTTGAAAGGTATCTCCCCCGAACATAGGTCTGCAAAATACACAGCACCTCAGGGACTATATCCTCCATCCCAAAGGATATAGCAGAAGAATTCCGACGCTACTATAGCCCTCTGTAAAACCTGCCCACACCCGAGATGAATCAATTAAGCCTGATCGTACTGGCGCATGTCACCATTTACCTAGATACCAACGTCCCGACAGAGGTAACTCCAGAAATAGCGGCTGTTTTGGATGCCCAGACAAGTACCAAGGAACTCTCTGTAGCTCTGAAAGAGACAAAAACCGGCAAAGCACCGAGGCCTGACGGATTCTCAACGGGATACTATAAAAATGTTTCCACAATGCTCCTGCCATGGCTGATGAAAGCACTCAAAGCAGTCAAGGAGGGGACGAACTTTGGAGCGGAATTGTTGGCAGCGACCATAATGGTCTTGCTTAAATCAGGGAAGGATCCGGCAAGCTGTAGCAGCTATCGCCCGATCTCTCTCCTGAATGTGAACGCTAAGCTGTTTACAAAAGTTCTGGTGACCAGAATCCAATCAGTCTTACCAACCTTAATTCAGGCAGACCAGACAGGTTTAATCCAAGGGCGGGAAGCACAGGACAGCACATTGCGTTTCTTTTCCAGTCAATACCACGCAAGAAAGATGCGGAAATACCTAATTTTACTATCAACCGACACTGAAAAGGCATTTGACCAAGTCAATTGGTCATATATGATAGCCACTTTAAGAAAGATGGGATTGGGATACAGAATGCTTACTTGGATTTCCACCTTGTACAACAAGCCATGAACCTCAGTGAGAGTTAATGGGGCATGGTGACAGGAGAAAGGGATGCCCTCTTTCACCGCTGCTATTCGCCATATCACTGGAACCGCTGCTCCAGGCGATCCGCTGGAATCCAGACATCCGGGGCTACACATGGCAGAAGGTGGAACATAAGGTTGCCGCTTACGCAGATGACCTCCTCCTCTTTATATCGGAACCCCGGATCACACTTCCTTGCCTTCAAGCGGAATTCGAATGATTCAGTGGATTTTCGGGATGTAAGCTTAACCTATCAAAATATGAAGTACTCAATGTCACAATCCCGATGGAGATATATATATGGCTCTGGAATCGCTGTTCCCATTCCACTGGTGCTTAGGCAAAATTAAGTATCTTGGACCGTGGGTATCCACAGATCCGCGGGACATATACCAACATAACTTTATACCCCTGCTGAAGATGCTGTTGGCGGATCTGAACAGATGGGTTACCCTCACGTGATGTGGCATGGGCGAATAGCAGTAATCAAAATAAATATTCTCCCAAGGGCCCTCTATTTCTTCCAAACCATGCCGCTGACACTACCAGCATCCTTTTCCTCCACATTAAAAACTGTGATCATCCGCAACGTGTGGCGAGAGGAAAGGTCAAGGCCATGAGCTGTTATGTCTACCTAGACATAGGGGACTGGCGCTACCAGACTTTAAAAAGTACCATCAAGCCACGATTCTGCAACGAATCCTTGACTGGTACGCTGGAAACACACACAAGCAATGAGTGGTATTAGACACTGGAGGCGTAAACACTAGCCTGGAGTCGGCGGTGTAGTTGGGGGGAAAAGTGGGGTCAAAAGAGAGGAACGAAGGGGAACCAGTGTCTCACGCACTTTGCACCTGGTAGTTGGTTAGCGAACAGACACACGTCTCACCCACTCCCAGCCCCTTACTACCGATAACGAACAACGGCAAATTAGGTGGGGGAGGGGGCTGCCCTTGAGGGCATGGCCCTTTTCTTGGGGGTGGAGAATACATCCCGATCCATAAGACCTTACGAGACAGTAAAATACGGAACATAGACTTCCTATTAGAGGGTAAGGCATGGACCCCACTGATCTCTCTCCGATATACACAATTAATACACTAATACTCGCTCCCACATAAAGAACGGTTACATAGGGATCTTACGTGGTTCGAGGTCCATCATGCTTGACAAGGCTATATCAACGCTATACCAACACCTTTTGGTTGGCAACCACTTGACAAAAAACACTTTCCAAATGGGAACACATGCTAGGCTGGACTTTTTCACCCTCACTGTGGGACAAGGCATTACTATAGCAGCATAAGAGTTCCTTCAACTCCCAATACCAGGAGATGAATTATAAACTCATATCACTCTGTTATAGGACTCCAGTCCTACTCCATAAGATATTCCCGATGGTGCCCCTGACACGCTGGAGATGCCAGGCGGAAAGGGGGACAATGATACACCTTTGGTGGGACTGTCGGGACATTATCTGGGAAGCGGTGAGGAAGGATGTGACAGCTATCTTAGGAGACATAAATGAATGGTCTGCTGAACTAGCTCTGTTACATATATTGTCGCTACCTGTCGCGTTCTATAAGAAATCTCTCCTTCGCTACTTATTGAATGCAGCCAAAGCCCTTACACCGATCTTTTGGAAGCGGACCAAGATCACCACTAGAGAGGAGTGGATCCACAGGGTCGATTACATTCAGACGGCGGAGGTGCTTCATGCCACACTGATGGGAAGTGGGACCAGACATGCAGAGACATGGCAACCATGGTTTAGGTTTATAGCTCAAAGCCAATGAGACACAATTTTGTATTTGCCTCTCACCTACTAAAAAGGAAATACAGCAACTGATAACAAAGTTAAAAAGAAAACACATGCGCCTCTAATTTATGTCCAACTAAATTAAGTGCAATCAGTTGCCTACTGCTATGATGCTTAGATTCTGGCTTAGATTGGACACTGAGCCAATCCCTTGATAAACCATTGTAACAACAATCAACCTCGTCCAATGGTGGTTTTATTTTATTTTTTTACAAAATTTACTTAGAAAAGGAGTTTATATTTATAATCACTGCCACTATGCATAGTTATAGTTTAAAACATATATATGTAAAGTACGCTGTCTATTCAGTAAAAAAATGCATTCACTTTACAGACAATAATCTTTCATCTTGAAATTGTTCTAGAAAAAATTCAAGTGTATAGATACAGTTTTGTTCAGTATTGAATATTCAAGTTTATAGGTGGATAACGGCATAGGTAATATATGTAGATTTCTTCTATAAGACATTCTTCTCTCACATCACCCTGTGTATATTATACCTACAAGCTTAGTCTTCCAAATTAATCTTTCCTTAAACTGTTTCCGTACCCATAAACCCAAACAAATTCCTCCTAGCTTTCATTTTTCAAAGCTTGAAATTCAAACACAGCGATATGTAAAGATCACCTCTGTGCAATGTAATTATTATAGCGTGCAAGCATTGAATCTCACAGGGAGAAAAATATGTGGCAATGATGTAATATTTAGCATTTAAATAACCACAATTGATTTGTGACCCAGATTGCACTGAACTATAAAAAAACCTGAATATCACAGTAATATATACATATATATATATATATACATACATACATACATACACACGCACACACACACCTTATCTTATCTTCGAATTCATAGAAACATGTGTTACACTTTGATTTATTTTGTTACACGAGTGAATTCTTTAATGATCTCATTAGGTTCGTTAGGTTCTCGTAACTTTCATCCCATTGATCTCCATCTTACTTTCATTTCCCAGTTCATGTGCAGCGAGGATAATTAGTCCCAGTGTCCTCATTCACAAAGAATCTTGGGCAGAAACATTCAAGTTAGGACTGGCTCTTCCCTGGCACCGTGTGTTTTACATTGTTGACATGCTGGTTGAGTGAGGATTATTTGTGTACTCCAGTCATTCATTTTATGTGAAGCCCGGGGGAGCTTAGAATCAGTGATCGCAAATTATTACATTTGACTCTTTTGTCACTTAATGACCTCCAGGAGTCAGAATTGTGCAAACTCGTAATTGTTTTTGTAAATTCTTTTCTTACATTTATTTTGTTTTATTTTAAGGTCAGTGGTGCAGGGACACAATTTCTGTTGATAAGCCTTTAGAATTATATTTATATACAATATTGCCCAGTCACTAATATATCTAAGAAGAAAGGTTGTATATTTTGTTGTGTATTTCAAATTGCTGTTTTCCGAGATTATTTTAATGTCAAAATGTAATGATCATTTTAAAGCATGCTGTATTCCTTTACGCTAAATTCATTATTGCGTCCTTTTCAGATTTAAAAATAAATGACTATAACATGTGGAATATCTCAGAGAAATTATTAAAATATGAGATTAGAAATGCTATTGTAACTTTTTCCTGAATGATGCTTTTTTTCTTTAGATTCTATCATGGCTTTAGTATACCTTCCACCTTCTGGCTATTTTAAGAATATGCAGATACCTAGCTCTGCCTCCTCACTGTCAGTTAAATCTGCAGCTTTGACAGTTTCTACGTTCTTTGAGAATGATTATTTTACGGGGAGTAACCAGAATCCTACATCTCATTGTATAGCTGACTCACAATTTCTATGGATTTGTGGGTTCCTAATTATATTCTCTTTGGGAAAACCACATTGATGAAAATATTGAGGAAAAAATATAGGAAGTCTTTGCTAAAGTTTCAAAATGATCTGTCATTGATAAACGACTCCAGTACATATATGTCTGTGCATATGGATCTCTGTTGGTGGTTTTGTGGTCTGAAAATCACACCTTACCATCATTACAGAGGTAATTCTGGGGGTAAGCATTGGGAAAAATGCTCCCCCTGAGAAGCTGTCTAGTAGTAGAGACTGTGGCGTCACCCACACTGTCCCCAAACGCCTGCTTCCAAGCTAATAAAAGAATATTCCGGTGCCAGACTCTGTAAGCCTGTTACACATACCGAGAAAAGTGTCATTGAATTGACTTGTTAAAGGAACACTCTAGACCCCTAAAGCACATAAGCTTGCTTGAGTGCTAAATGTGTGGAGTGTGTCATTTTTTTTTCCATTTTTCAAAAAGTGCAGATTTCAATAGGAATTTGCACTTTTTATAAATTCACCTTGTTACATCCCCCAGGCTGTCAACCAGACAAAAGGTTCTGTTACTTCCTTGTTCGGTTAGCTCAGTGGAGCTAATCTTGAGAGGCAGCAACTGCCCAGAGACTTTGCAAAGTCTTCTCATTGCACTACATTGCAAAGTCTGTAATTGGACAGCCACAGAAAGTCTGGGCTGAAGAAAAATGGGAGGACTTGCAAGCTCTTGCAAGCTCTCTCTGTCTCTATATATATACCCAACTAAAATGCCTAATTAAATGCATGCATGGTTTCATTGGGGGTATATTTACCACACACTGATTATTTATTTAGTTTTCTTAGGCAGTGGAGTGTCTATTTTAGCAAGAAGCAGGGAATCAGTATAACTGCAATAGTTGCATGATTAAGTGTGCGTTCTTGTTTGTGGTTACTGTATGCATATTTGTAATTCTGTGTATCTGTGTTATATTTTATCATGAACTTTATAAATTACTTTTCACAGGTCCCTGGAAGTCATTGCTGGAATGGAGAGTAACAGCAAAGTATTCACTGTTCATGTTCAGGGCTTGTTACAACTGCAGGTAATTTGAAGATTGTAATCACTGTTAGCATGTGTACATTATGCTGTTACCTAAACTCATTAACACATAGACCAAACAAAAACAAACAATAAATTGTTATTTATTCAGAAGACAAGGTTAGCAGTTGGTTTCAGTAATTTTCTATTAACATGATTGAACACACTTGAATAAAATGTCAGAAAGTAAAATGTATATTATTATTATGATTCATTGATGGTTTAGTGGTTAAAATAGTAATAATCCGATCTTCGAAAACTATTTTCTGAATTTATTCCCCTAAGTCACTCTTTCACTCCAGAACTTCATCACGAAGGGGCCCTGTTGTATGGTAATAGGAGAGGCAAGATGTACTTTTGTAGTCAAGCTGTTTCACCCAGTGGACCCATCTATAAGGCCAACATAGTTGTCCACGTCTTTTTCCTTCTATTTTGTACTGATTTAAGCAGTGAGAGTATATACTGTCTAATTCTATTGCCCTGTGCGCAACAGAGCACACAGAGCAACACAGTCCAAGAAAAATACCAGAGTAACTCCTATACAACACCTCTCTACACCACAAACCCTACCTCTTGGGGGGAGAGTTACTGGTGGGGAAATATATTATGAGAATATGAGGGAAGGCAACAAAAATGTGCATACCCCTCGTTACATCTGTGGTAAAGCAAAGTTTTATTTGTTTTGGCAGCCATCATTTTTTGCGTGCATAGCGACAGATTTAGTTTGCACATACAGATATTCATAACCAAAAATATCATAGGTAAGGTTTACAATGTCATGGATTTGGTCAGCACTTTAGTTTATCACATACAGATATTCATAACCAAAAATATCATAGGTAAGGTTTACAATGTCATGGATTTGGTCAGCACTTTAGTTTATCACATACAGATATTCATAACCAAAAATATCATAGGTAAGGTTTACAATGTCATGGTTTTGGTCAGCACTTTTTCAAAGAATAATAATAAAACAATGTTAAAACATCATGTTGATAACTAGCTTTGCTCCTACTGAAAAAAATTATAATTTAATATTGGTAGAGCGAGATATACGTTAATCAAGATACACCGCCTCCAGGGAACAAAAATGTAAAAAAAAAAAAGAAAGAAACATTCTCTTTAAATTTTGTCATCTTTTACATAAAGACACGTATATCTTCATATGTAAACAAGATAAGAACTGGCTCGGCCATTTTAATTGTAGCATAGCTGTCATTTAGAATTCCGTCACTGCTTTCATCCACCACGTTCAGTGTATTGTATCTCAAAGTTGTTTAATTTCCCAGGATTCTCTTGGCTGTGGTATTTTGTTATTGACAGAGTCCTATAACAGCCTATGTTTGTTCAATTTTTTTTTCGTATCATTGAAAATCTTGGAATCATAAAAGTCCGTAAAGCCAGGCTTTCTTCAGTTACTTTTCTGGAACATTAGCAGTTGTGTCCATGAGACAGCTAGAAATTACTATTATTGTTTTTGGAGCAAGCAGACGGCGTTTTGCTCCTGCTGTGCCATTTGTTTTTCTAGCAGATGATCTGCTTTAAAATAGTCCTGAAGCGTTTGATTTGCTACTTAGTCTCTGTTCCAAGAACACTACACTGGGAAATGTTATTGTAGTGACAGTTTATAAAAGCGATGATCCGAGTTTATACGCCATTTGCAAATACCATTTCAGACGTGTTCATTCAATACTCTGGAGTTGTTTTCAATGAAAGATTTTATAAAAGCAAAAGAGCACTCTCTATATAATTATATCACCACAATTGTAAAATAGTCACTTATTATTATTATAATTTATTAGACATATTATCAAATATTACCGTACAAACATATTTACACACAGTCAGTGTTTCAACCTAGTTTACTTGGGGGATGTATTTACTAAAACAAATTAAAACTGAATTTGCGAAATATAAGAGAAAATACCTGTGGTGGAAATATTCTTAAACTCACAGCGTTATTTACTGAATGGAGAATTCAATGTGAATTTTAAAAATATAGATAGAGAAGTTTAACTGAAACTCTAGCTGACTTACGGAACTATTCCAGTTTAACTACTTTGACCTTAAATTTAAAAATACACTTTGATTTCTGACTTTAGTGGATAACCCTGTCAGTTATATCTCTAACAATCGGCATTATTCACTAAAGTCAGTATTCAAACTTTATTTCAGGATAAAATGGGGTGCATAGATGTAATGGACAGTAGACTTGTGTATTTGTGGACACTCAGCTCTTCTACTAAATTCTGTTTCTCCAAAGCATTGTAGAGACATATAACCATACAAATAACTAGTGCAATGGTGTGTTGGTATGATTCCGTGTTTGAAGTTCCCCCCAAGGTGCCAGAAAAAGATGATTAATTGGGATAAAAATAATTGATGGCTAGGGGACAGTCATTAAATGTTGATTATACTCACATATCAAGTGAGAGGTGACCAATAAAGATAGCAAAATAAGAAGCAGTAAAAAATATATACATATTCATGAACATATGATATATAAATATAGAATTTTTGTTTTACTGACCCTCCTCTTTTTCTTTCTTTTAGTAAAATTTTCTCACTTGATTTGGGAACCAAACGGCTGGAAAATGCGCCTATCAATGTACTGTAAAATATATATAATATTTATATTATGTATATATTTTGAAGTATACTGAGTGGCCCGTTTTCGCAAACTGTTTTGTTAATCCGAATTGTTTCCGAGAATTTTTTTTCATGCACAATATTTCATGGACGAGAGTTGGAGGTCACAAACCTCCACAAATTTAATTTTTGGAAGAATAGATTTTGGCCAAATGGAGTTTGTCCTTCATGCACATGTCTAGTTGACAGTAAAAGCATTTTATGGAGATAATAATGCAACTAAAATTCGACTATATTATGTGAATAAAACAAACACTTTTTCCACTTTCTTTACAGTCTGGACAATACACATCTATATTTGTGGACAACAGTGCCGGGGCACCAATCACTGTTCAAAATGGGTCTGATTTTATGGGCATTCTAATGGGGATTTAACCAAAACCCCAAGAGAACAAGTTCTTCTTTCAACACCAAACCATCATGATATTGACACAGAGTCGTGCATCTACAATGGACAAACATTCAATTTTCCTGATCATCTGGGATCTGTTGCTGTATAACTGCTTGCCACCTTCATCACCTGGAGAGACTTTATGCAAGCCCCTATCTTCATTCATTGCCTCTGCTGCTTGTAAGCCTCAAACTGCCGAGAGGTCTGCAATACATCGAAATGGTATTATTAAGCAATGCATTGCAGAACTCAGTTTAATATTTCCATATCAGACTCTGTAAAGAAAATACCATCAATTAGGACAAGTTATCCTTTTTTGTATATGCATTTTTGCTACTTGATTTAGAAAAAGAAAGAAGGATGTAGAGCCTCAGCAGATATGTTCTCATTGTTGAAAGCTGAATGTGGATCTCTTCTACAATGGACACTTTGTTTCTATAATTGAGTTCCGAGGGCATTTGGAGCCAGTTTTGTGTGGTCTGGTTAATGAGGGACTCAAGAAGAACATCAAGTAACCTGACCGAAAAATGAGTTACTGCTGTTGGCTCCAAAATGGACACTTGTATTTGTGCCTCAGATTGTACCCTCTTCTGATCACCTATGTTGTTCTATATTGTTTTATTCTATAAGATACTGCATAATATGGCTGTTTGCTAATAAACAGTCTTTTAACCATCATCAATTTTGGTGCCAAAGGCTCAGATTTATATACAACGGGCTTAGGAGGAAAGACTAGTGAGTCTGCATGAAAAATGTGCACATTTAAAAGGAGTCTTCAAACTCTTGAGCACTTTGAATAAGTTTGTTGTTCCAGTGAGTTGCAAAAATCACCTTAGCTCTGTTTTCACCCCACCTGCATGCTGTGATGTAACACTCAATGCCCCTATAAGACCGAATACATAAATATCACAGGCTCTTAATAAAAGCATCTTTAGCAACTGTGCAGATGAATGGCTGAAAGTAAATTCAGTCTTGAAAGTATGTTCAGTCTTGAATGAAGCTGATTGGAAAGCTATCAGAGGCCAAAGACATACCCTTTCAAGAATGAATATACTTGACTCTGCTGAACTACATTTCCCATATACTCTAGCAATGTAGGGGTTTCTGGAATATGCAAACAATGGGACTATGAGAACAGTAATATCAGTCACTTACTGGTCCCTTTAGCTTCAACTTTGAAGCAAATAAGGGAATTATACCGGTGAATGATATTTCTTTTGGGTTTAAACACAATACACTGTTACATATGGAAAGGTTGTTTTGACTCTAACACAGACTGATGTGAGTATGGAAAATGGAAATGGTTCCCCAACTCCATAAATATACAATAGCATTGCTTGAGATAGTGAATGCAAAAAGGCTTAGTCAATGATTGGATAATGAGTCATAATTTCAACTATATTTCATTCTAAAATCAAGGTGTACACACTGCACAGTCAATATGAAACACAGGGAACAGAGCTACACAAAAGTTAAAAATAGTAATATATTTATATGCTAATATATGCAAATGTAAACAATATAAAACGACATATTGGTAGTGTTCTTGGACCCCTTAAATGTACAAAATGCTGAGCATTTCAAATCAGACATATTACCTTTTAGAAAAAAAAAAACATAAAATAACATTGTTAGATTATTTGCCATTCATTTAAACCCATCTGAAGCTTTTACTGCATTGCCTGTTCATGTTGGCTGACATCAATGCAATATGAATAGGTGCCAATTTATTAATGAGTTTGAGTACTTTAAAATGAAAGTGAGGGCCTCTCATAGATATGCATTGGTTTTTACGATTTCTCTGTAATTGGATGGCTTATAGAGAAACTTTGGATTGTCTAGGAGATCATCACCAATGATTATCTCACAGAGGAAGAAGACAATCTCACAACTGGATAATAATTAATTTACTTATTTGTGAATTGTAGCATGCCAAAGTGGGAACATAGTGGAGATTGTGCATAGTCCCCTGCTCTGTCTGTTAGTGCAGTTCCAGGCTCCGGGTCAAGCAGTGTGCTTTGTGAGTGGAGAGAGGGCAGTATATGATGTTCATTCACATCTCCAGCCCACTCCCCTCACTCACCAATCGTAGGCTGGAAATGCATTGACAGACCGGCATAGGGACATACAGAGCCTCTTCTACATTAGCCAGGGCAACAGAAAGACATCAGACTGCTTCTCATTCAATGTCAAACTCTTAACAAATAGTTTAACACTGAGCAGTGGGATTGCACCAGGGGACTCCAGGAACTAAAACCACTTCAATGAGATGAAGTGTTAACGCTGCCTACAGTGCCTCTTTAAGAACAAAATTATTTTGATTAGACATATTCTCATTCTTTTCTCAAGCCTCCTCTAAGTCTTTGTACGCTGAATAAATCAATCCTCACTAATAATACAAATTGAAATACATATAAATTATTTTTTTTCTTGCATGATCAGTACAGTGAGAATACTGCTCAAAGTGTTATTTAAATGTTGGACCTTTGTTTGTCTTTTTCATATTAAGATGTTTAATTTGTATTTTGAGTGATTTTTATGCTTCATACTCATAATTCGAAAATTAATATTACCGGTTCCATTATGCACAAATTAAACACATGATAATCATAACAGTTTATGTATCATCTTACATCAAGAGATGCCAACGAGTGGATTTTGAACATATATGGACTCTTTTTGGAACTCTGACTTCTGCCAACATTTTTCTAGTAAAATTTAAATTTCTGATCCAGATCCGCCTAACTGCACTCATGGTTAAATAAACATTGACTATTGTGCAAATTATGCTCAAGAACATCTAGAAAAATCTATGAAAACCCAGTGACAATATTATAGAATATTTAGAAACAGTTTATGAGAGAATATACCAGGTGTATAGAGCAGAACATAAAATAAAAAAATGTCTGGGGAGTTTTGCTTATTACTGCTACCTAAAGGACTATCTTAAATTTCAAAAATATTAATATATTTCTACTTCACCTTACCACTGACAACCAAAACACATGCCCTATTCCCTTAAAGGAACACTACAATGTGAGGAATACAAAGTGTCTTCCTGACACCACAGTGTAAAACACATTTAGGGGGCTTGCTCCCCTAAAAGAGGGTTTAAACTTTTAAAACTTACATTTATTCCAGCACTGCGGGAGTCAGCCAAGGCTGGTCCACCCCCGCTCTGCCTCTTTGGCTGCAATCATCAAACCTGACATTCTCAGCCGATCTAATTCTTTGCCATAAGAAAGCAGTGGGAGGCTATCACGCATAGAAACATAGAATGTGACGGCAGATAAGAACCATTCGGCCCATCTAGTCTGCCCAATTTTCTAAATACTTTCATTAGTCCCTAGCCTTATCTTATAGTGAGGATAGCCTTATGCCTATCCCACGCATGCTTAAACTCCTTTACTGTGCTAGCAGAATGCTTGGCTGTATAGGGAGAGGTATTAGCAGTAGATAGAGGGAAGTGCTCATGCCATTGTACAGAACACTGGTGAGACCTCACTTGGAATATTGTACACAGTACTGGAGACCGTATCTCCAGAAGGATATTGATACTTTAGAGAGAGTTCAGAGAAGGGCAACTAAACTGGTTCATGGATCGGAGGGAAAAACTTACCAGGAAAGGTTAAAGGATCTTAACATGTATAGCTTGGAGGAAAGACGAGACGGGGGGGGGTATGATAGAAATATTTAAATGCATAAAGGGAATCAACACAGTAAAGGATGAGACTATATTTAAAAGAAGAAAAACCACCACAACAAGAGGACACAGTCTTAAATTAGAGGGGAAAGGTTTAAAAATAATATCAGGAAGTATTACTTTACTGAGAGGGTAGTGGATGCATGGAATAGCCTTCCAGCTGAAGTGGTAGAGGTTAACACAGTGAAGGAGTTTAAGCATGTGTGGGATAGGCATAAGGCTATCCTAACTATAAGATAAGGCCAGGGACCTAATGAAAGTATTTAGAAAATTGGGCAGACTAGATGGGCCGAATGGTTCTTATCTGCCGTCACATTCTATGTTTCTAGCATTTCCTGCTGCTGTATTACATTGTCTGCCTAACTTTAAGTCATCTGAAATAATTACATCTAAATTCCTTTCCTCAGATGTTGAGGTTAGGACTCTATCAAATATTCTGTACTCAGCCCTTGGGTTTTTACGTCCAAGATGCATTATCTTGCACTTATCCACATTAAATGTCAGCTGCCACAACTCTGACCATTTTTCTAATTTTCTTAAATTATTTGATAAAAATGATAAAAACACACAAGTAATATTATGGCCATCTGAGGAGTGGCCACTTGGAGGGGTCCTTAGAGGCAATGTAAACACGGCCTTTTCTCTGAAAAGGCAGTGTTTATATGAAAAAGCCTGAAGGGAACGATTATACTTACCAGAACAACTACATTAAGCTGTAGTTGTTCTGGTGACTAAAGTGTCCCTTTAAAGTTCCTAACACGCATCCGTCTGTCGTTCTGAGTGTTATGCACAGACAGAACTTCCGAAAATGACAGTGTGGAAGCAACCTGCTGTATATCATTGGCAAAAACATAAAAAACTTCCTTTACGTCTGAAACCTCATTGCAAGCCAAGTCATTTGTCCCTAGATGGACAAGTACATCAAATTCTCTTCCTGCTTTGCTTGCTTAACAATGTTACTAATACGTCTCCTGTCTCTGTGAGCAGTAGTTCCAGGAAGACATCTCACAAGACCACTATTGACCAGCTCCACACCTCTTATGATAGAATCCCCTAACAACAACTGCTTTCTATTAGGCCTCACCATGGTCTCCAAGCCTGTCTCCATAATACCCGGTGCCTGAGAATGTCTCCACAACACCACTACACTCTGTTCCTTAGCCTGTCTCCACAACACCACTACACTCGGTGCCTGAGCCTGTCTTCACAACACCACTACACTCAGTTCCTGAACCTGTCTTCACAACACCACTACACTCAGTGCCTAAACCTGTCTCCATAACATCACTACACTCGGTGCCTGAGTGTCCCACAACACCACTACACTCTGTCCTTAGCCTGTCTCCACAACACCACTACACTCAGTGCCTGAGCCTGTCTTCACAACACCACTACACTCAGTTCCTGAGCCTGTCTTCACAACACCACTACACTCAGTGCCTAAACCTGTCTCCATAACACCACTACACTCGGTGCCTGAGCCTGTCTTCACAACACCACTACACTCAGTGCCTGAGCCTGTCTTCACAACACCACTACCCTCAGTGCCTAAACCTGTCTTCACAACACCACTACACTCAGTTCCTGAACCTGTCTTCACAACACCACTACACTCAGTGCCTGAGCCTGTCTTCACAACACCACTACACTCAGTTCCTGAACCTGTCTTCACAACACCACTACACTCAGTGCCTGAGCCTGTCTCCATAACATCACTACACTCAGTGCCTGAGCCTGTCTCCATAACATCACTACACTCAGTGCCTGAGCCTGTCTCCATAACATCACTACACTTGGGGCCTGAGCCTCTCTCCACAACACCATTACACTCTGAAAGTGCAGAAAATGAATTATGTAGAGCAACAGACTGTGCAATATGCCTTTTATCCACAACTCTAAGTCTACCAGATCCTACAGTAATCCATCTGCCATTCCTAATACGTCTCTGCGGCAGTTCCAGTCTGTTCACCAGATAATTTACAAATCTCAGACTTCAAAAATACAATCTCCTGCTGCAATATAGAGAACTGTCTACAGATTAGACAGCAACCAAACCTCCAAAAAGTGGAACGTGAAACAAATGCATAACAACTATTACACGGAACTAAGTCTGTCATTTTAATGAGGTGAGTAATTTAAATTAAACAAAACGTAACTTTTTTTTTCCTCCTACATACCTCAGATTACCTCCAGTTTATCTCCAGAATATCTCCAAGTACACACTTTGAAGCAGCACTTAGAAGTAGCAACCAAGCTATATTAGCCAAACTAATGACCACAACCCTTACATAACTTCTAAAAGCACCACCCACTAGGAATTTTTAACACCTGGGTAGGCCTATGCAAAACAAGGTGCTGCATCAATCAGCGTCTTCTCATAGAGATGCATTGATTCAAGTTCAAATTCTTGCAGTTGGTGGAGACACGGAACGTCAGTGCTGCACACTGTGCAGCACTGACCCAGGAAGCACCTCTAGTGGCAGTCTGAGTGACTGCCACTGGAGGAGTCCCTAGGCATTAATGTAAACACTGACTTGTCTTTGAAAAGGCATTGCCTAGCCATAGATGTAAATTAAAATGGAAGAAATTATAAAAAAAAAAAAAAAAATAGTTTTAGCTATTAGATTGTACTAAAATGAGATGAACATTTCTTTTTAACTCCTTAAGGACCAAACTTCTGGAATAAAAGGGAATCATGACATGTCAAGCATGTCATGTGTCCTTAAGGGGTTAAAAGAAAACTCTAAGAACCAAAAACACCATATTTTAATTTATAAAAGTGTCAATTTCTATTGATCTACTACTCTGGCACTAGAATGGTTAATGTTTTATCTCAGGCTTTGACAATAAGGTTAAAAGCAGCTGGGCTTTCGGTTTTATTTGCAGCTAAAATAGTTTTTCCAAATATATTTGACATTGCAAGTAGTGGATCATAAATCAACATTGTCTGTTCTTTTCTTTACCCAGTGTGTTCAGACTGTGGTTAAATCTCTCCAATATTTCATTGTTGCTTTGTAAGTGCACGGGAATTTCAATTGGATCAATGCCAGAGTTTCTTTGCCAAAATTGAGACAGATAAAAACTGCTCACACCATCACCTTTAGGGGGAAGATTGAATATGATACTCATCTCTGGTACTCGGAGATTTATCTTGCAATCCAGCACAGAGTCGACTGTCAAAATAATTGGCTTTTCTACAAATAATCAATAACCACTACTCTCTTTCAGTCCAAGTGCAGTCATTTTCGGTTTTCTCTTGCAATGCTTTCTTACACAGTGGCATCTATAAGCTTTCTTATATTATAGTCAATTAATTTCGGCTGTAAAATATTTAGGTTAGTGCAAATATGTGTTCATCTATCTTTGTTTGTTTTATTACAGTACTCCATAAAGTAACGAAAAAGGCGGTCGAGGTGGTGAGCACAAATCCGCACACAGTGCCCTATTTTTTTTACTTCAATAATTGTTTATATTACAAGCCTCTATGTTCACATTTTGTTAGCACTGCAGAATTATTTTTTAAGTAAAAATATTTCCTAATCTTGGTGTAACAGAAATTTGGACCTATGGGCTGCTTAAATGCTTCTTCTTGTAACCTGGAAACCTAGGACAAAGTAAGCCATTTGTGGCAACTGTGGAATGATCGAGATATCTTTAAAGTAACACGGTTACCCTCTTGGGACTTTGCATTATTTGAAATACTCCCTAAGGTGACATTGTCGCTAGTGGTCCTGTTGCCAGAGGGGTGGAGGGGGGGGAGGGGGATTAGGGAAAGTTGAGATTTACTTACCTGATTACCTGAACCTGTCCATCATGGGTGCTGCCATTTTCTTATGGCCGATCCTCTTCTGAAGCAGCAGGAGCCGACGTCACTGCTGTACTCTTGCGCATTTGTGAGAGTAGAGCATTGAGGTCTATGGAGGTTCCTGCGAGACCGGAGATCCTCAATAGATGCAGCTAATATCTTTACATCCGTCACTGGTGACGGCTAAGAGATTGACAATTCTAGATAGCAGTAGCCTTGCCCAGTGTCTAGAAGTGTCAGGTGTAGGAGAAATACTGCTTTGCACTGCATATCCTCACAGCCGTATCCTCACAGCCAGAACCAGATATCTTTGGACATCTGAAAAATACAAAACAACTGTCAATAGTGCTATATCGTGAGATAAAAACCAAATAATGTAATTGAATAAGTAATAAACTCATGTAGCAAAAGGGTCACTGTAGGCATCATAACCATTTCAATTAATTGAATTGGTTATAGTCAGGGCCGGATTAACATAGGGGCTGATGGAGCTGCAGCTCCAGGCCCAGGCCCATGGAATAGGCCCATAGATTTAAAAAAAAAAAAAAAAAAATTTTTACATTTTTTTTTTTTTTTTACATTTTTTTTTTTCTCCACACACTACTCTTAGGGATTCCACCTAGCTTTTATTTTATTGGCACAGCCAGTATTTGAGGCTGCCTGGCTGGTGCCAATATTGCAGTGATACTGGCAATATAAATGTTGGTATTTTTCTCAGTATAAACAAGAGATTACTATGCAATACCAACACTGGCCAGTAGGGGTCGCTGTGTGTGGAGACAGACAGGGATAGGAAGTTCCAGCATATCCCTCCCTGCCTATCTATACTCACTGATCTGCAGGGGTGCAGCTACAGAGAGTCCAGACAGCAACTCCCACCCTGCAGAGACAGCCTACAGCTCAGGGAAGTAATGGATGGGGGGAAAGGCTGCAAGGAGACATGGGGACACTGAGACACTAAGGGACATTGGGAGACATTATGACACAGACACATGGGGACACAGTGTCCCCATGTCTCCCAGCCAGTGTCCCTGGTGTCTCGGTGCCCCCTAGTCTCCCAGTGACCCCAGTCTGCCAGTGTCTCACTGTCCCTATGTCTCCTAGTGCCTCCATGTCTCTCAGTGCCTCAAGTGTCACAATGTCCCCATGTACCCCAGCCTGTGTCTCTAGTGTCTGTGTCCCTGGTGCCTGTGTCCCCATGTCTTCAAGTGTCCCCTATTTTCCCATTGTCCCAATGTGTCCCAGCCAGAGTCCCCTAGTCTTCCAGTGTCACTGGTGTCTACGTGTCCCAAGGTCTCCCCATGTCCCCAGGTCTCCCCATCTTCCTAGTGACATGGGGACAAAGGGAGACATGGGGCATTGAGACACTGTGATACATAGGATCATAGGATCACTGGGAGACCTGGGGACACGACACTAGGAGACACTGGGAGACATGGGGCACTGAGACACTGATACATAGGAACACTGAGACCTGGAGTAATCGACACTTGGGGGCACTGAGTCATGAGGGCACTGGGAGACATGGGGGCACTGGGAGGAATCCATCTATACTGTAGAATCAAACTAAGTAGTTTTTTGGTGATTTTACAGAATTTTCTCTTATGTCACTCCTTGTGATTTACATGTGATGTCATCCATACATATTTAATTATGCAAATTAGTAAGGCCGGTATGTTTTTCCAAGAAAGGTGGTAACCCTAACTACTTTTCACATACTCTTACTTAAGTATGGAAACTTAAGAGTGAAGTATGGGAACAAAACTTGTGTGGACTGGCTGACAATGAATATAGTTAAAGGGACACTTTAGTCACCAGAACAACTACAGCTTATTGAATTTGTTCTGGTGAGTAGAATCATTTCCGTCAGGCTTTTTGCTATAAACACTGTCTTTTCAGAGAAAATGCAGTCTTTACATTACAGCCTAGTGATAACTTCACTGGCCACTCCTTAGATGGCTGTTAGAGATCCTTCCTGGGTCATGGCTGCCTAAAATGCATCCAAACATTCAGTGTCTCCTCCCTCTGCATGCAGACACTGAACTTTCCTCATAGAGATTCATTAATTCAATTCATCTCTATAAGGAGATGCTGATTGACCAGGGCTGTGTTTGAATCATGCTGGCTCTGACCCTGATATGCCTCTTTGTCAGTCTCAGCCAATCCTATGGGGAAGCACTGTGATTGGATCAGGCCACCACTTCTAATGATGTCAGCAGACTGCTTGTTTTTATGAGTCTAACAGCATTCAGAGTTACAGCTTCAGGCTTGAATATAGTAAGATTATGGAGGCATGAGGGGCCCAGGGGGGCTAGATGGTGGTGTTAACACTATAGGGTCATGAATTCATGTTTGTGTTCCTGACCCTATAGTGATCCTTTAAGGTAATGCTGACTTTGGTCTCTCTAACACTGTGGCATGTTCCCTTTCTTCTACACTCACTACATACAGCTTTTCTCTGTCCCAGACTATATACCAGGAGCTTCTGCCTGCTAGTAAGAAGGTAAGGAGACAAGTGGACCAGCGAGTACAAGGGAACAGTCCTTAGAAAGCGTTGAGTGAGCGCATCATTAGATGCATTTATGCCAAGCTCAGGGTGCTGTCTGCATAGTATGCCCTTAGTTGGCCAGCTGCATGATTGGCAGGCAGCTGGCCTTCTAATTCTTTGGGCAGACATGTCCTCTTTTTGGGCATGTTCGCCCCTTTTGACAGGTTACGTAATTTGTGTCAGTGGCACACCCTTTTACCATGCCCATTGACTTCCTGCTTGACTGGACACTGCTGTTGGGGGTTATGGATTTACTTGAAAGATGAAAACATAAATTAGAGAGAGATTAGCCTAGGGTATGTGTTTTCTTATAGCTGCTGTTTTACTGTTTTTGGTCGATATGATTCTGTAATTAGGCCCGTCCTAATTGTCAGCACCAGGCCCACTGGGCTCTTAATCTGGCCCTGATTGCAATGCTTTAAGTAGAACAGGCTTAGTGTCTCACTGGTAACACATTTTCTAGCTTAGGGAACTGACATGTTGCTCATACCAGTCTGCTAGGTATATAAAAGGGTGGCACCCCTGGAGCTCCACTTTTGCTGGTTATGCATCAGACTCTATCGGTAATAAAATAAACTGTTGCAATAAATCAAGTTAAGAAACTCGAC